GCAGCACCCACGGCGGGAGTGCAGCACCCACGGCGGGAGCGCAGCACCCACGGCGAGAGCGCAGCACCCACGGCAGGAGTGCAGCACCCACGGTGAGAGCGCAGCACCAACGGCGGGAGCGCAGCACCCACGGCGAGAGTGCAGCACCCACGGCGGGAGCGCAGCACCCACGGTGAGAGCGCAGCACCCACGGCGGGAGCGCAGCACCCACGGTGAGAGCGCAGCGCCCACGGCGGGAGCGCAGCGCCCACGGCAAGAGCGCAGCGCCCACAGCGGGAGCGCAGCGCCCACAGCCTGGCCCTCATACCTGCACTCCAGGCCGACTCCTCAAGGCTCCTTGGGCTGTCCTGCCCGTTAATCTCCTCTCATCACGGGGAGGGCTCCTAGCCCAAACCCACGAGTCCCTTCATGCAGCTGCTCTGCTTATTAAAAAAGAGAAAAAAAAAGGAGACAGCAGAGAAGTGCTTTTATCTGCCTCAAAACTGCCTTCCCCAGCAGCTTTCCTTTCTTCGAGTAAATACCTTATCTTTTGAGCTGTATAAACTTTCTCTCATGAGGAAGAGCACTATTTCTCCTATTTCCCCTTCTTTCACCATTGTTTCCGTATGGTACGATTTGTGTTTATAAAACAGTTACATACACTAACTATATCCTTATTTTATAGCTGACATTGAGCTGGCTCTTCCAAATTTTAACTGACAGAAAAGTTAAAACTGAAAGTTAAAAGATAGACTTTTTTTTTTTCTTTTGCAGTTTTACAGGTTTTTATACAAGTCAGGCTCACACACAAAATACTCAGTTTCTTTATAACTGAAGTATGAGGTGAGGCCTCAAGCTACCATGGTGAGATGTTATGGATTGCGGTGGGAATCGGTTGAAAGCAAAATGGTGAGATTTGTAATGTGTTTTGCATGGTATTTAATGTATTTTCTCAGTAAAGAAAAAGCCTGAGAATGCTTTATAAAGTTATAACACACAGGTTCCTCCTTAAGAGAGTCTAGTTTAAGTGGGGATAACTGGTCTTCAGGAAAGAGTCAAGGTAGGAGCCCATTAATGCAGGAAAATAAATAGGTAGCTCTGAGTTAAGCCGAATATTTTAAAGTAAATAGCTGAGATAAGCCTGATGCCTTGAGTGCTCCTTACTGGATAAACAGTTGTGTGCAAGGCCAGTATTTAGTCTCCGGACGCACATTTTCTTTAATTGGAAAATAAATAGTGCGTGGCAGAAGAATAGATGACTTGTGCTTGGCCACCCACGCGGTGTATATTCTGGCAGCAGAATGGCCCATTCGAGTCTGACCTGTTTGGTGATACTGCTGCCATCAGATTTAAGCTGCTGAATCTATTGAAAATTACACATGGAAATACCTGAGCAGGATCTCCAAAAACGGTCAGGAGTTGGCAGCGTCTTCCAAGGGGAAGCTCTCCCACCCTGCCCGTCCTGCCGGAGGGTTTCTGCACCCAGCTGCTGTGCCCGGGAGCTCCTTTGGGTTGGGTGGTTCGTATGTTGAAGATGCATACGTCATTTTCTGCATCTAATGGCAGGAGTTATGTTATAGCTAAGAGAAGTTAGCGTAGTTTTTGGTACCCCAGTGCCCCTAGGATGCTATTGGGGTCTCTAAGTACGCTCACATTGAGGTCTAAGGCCACAGGCTGGCAAAGTCTGAGGTTAATTCAGCAAGAACAAGCTCAAATGCAAGGTGAACAGAGCGTTGATCCCAGCACGGACCTGATGGATGAAGTGTCCGGGCGCACCCGGGCACATCCAGGCGGGTTGGGGAGATCTGCAGAGCAGGAGCCTCCGCAGCCTCCCTGGGCAGCCTGGGCCAGGGCTCGGGCACCCTCACACCAAAGAAGCTCTTCCTCACATGGAGATGGAGCTGCCTGGGGTTCAACTTGTCCCCATTGCCCCTTGTCCTGGCACTGGTCATCACCAAGAAGATGGGTAGAAGAAATCTTGAAATGCAGCCTAATGTGCTCAGCTCTTGCTCTAGCAGAAACGGAGGATACTGCTCTGGCCAGTGGAAACATCTCCAAAGTATTTTTGACATGGAAATGTCTTCGTTGTTGCAAAAGGCTGAAGCTCCATCTGGTCGTTTCCTGAACCACAGGGCCCTCATGTTGCCATTGGGCTGCGAAGGTGGTGCCGGCCGTTGAGAAAGAAATACTGACAAAGAGGCAGGAGTCCCGCTGAGTGAGCCCGGTCCTCGTGTGTCAGTGGCCTCTTCTGCCCAGACAGAGCGAGGTCACTTCAGGTGAAAGAAGATCGTCATCATAATCAAAGGAGGGAAACGTGAGAGCCATGTGTGCGCACAGAAAGGCAGCCAGCCTTCCGCGGCCTGATGTAACACAAGAAATTTATAATAAACAGCTGTCTGGCTTTCCAAATTTTCTCAATATTAAGTGTTGTTAATCAATTTTTAATGCAACAATTAGAAGATAGGAAAGCTGCTCTCCATCCTTCCCCAGAATAATTGATTTCAGCCAGACATTCACAAACTAAACCGTTCTGCTGTGGGGCAGGAGCCCTGTGTACACAACATGAGTAGAGCCAGTGGAAACCTGGGGAAATGTACTTGAATTCATCGTAAAAACTCTTCTGAAATGTTATTGGCACCCTAATGGTTCAAAAAATAAGGCCAGCTTATATGCTGGCTTGCCTGCATGTTTATGAGGAATACAAATAAACATCTCAGCTGTTTGGCAGCCTGGGCTGTAAGTAATGCTTGCAAAACTCTGGTAAGAATAAGCCAAACAGAGCAGCACGCTTATATCTATCTATCTATCTATCTGTCTGTCTGTCTGTCTATCTATATGTGTATATATGTGTGTTTAAACACCACACGTGCTGAGCTTTTCAGCTAAGAGACCCCCAAAGCGTGCGTGTCGGTCAGGGTTTTTGAGAGCTGATGAGGGATTGAGGCTGGTGCAACTGGAGCATCTTTAGCCACATTGCAGCATTGCTACCCACAGGTGTCTTCTGATATATTACATGATGGCATGGGCAGAAGCAGCAGGGTTTGTAGCACCCCGTGGTGGGTATGGAATGGAAGTGCCAGGGCTGCAAGCAGGTCTCAGGTCGCTGCTTTCCGTCTGCTCCCATATCCCTGAGGATGAAGTTAAGGGTCTCAGGATTTCTCCTCCTGCACAGTCAGTAGCTCAGCTCACCACGGTGTGCTCGTAGCCACCTACAAACATCCCACTAAGATGTGTCTGTGGAAAGGGTTTAATCTTTTTAAGCTCCTTAGGTGATTTGGCTGGTTCCTATGTTCATTTTTATGCCTTTAACGTTGCTTGCAGAAATACAATACAGCTGCAATATCTGCTTTTGTTTTGCCAGGTAACTGCGTTTTGTGATGTCGATGAAAAGAAAATAGCAAAAGGATTTTACACTTACGAAGAATCAGAGGTTAGTTGTAACTAACAGAGGTTAGTCCTAAGTTCTGCTGCGTATTCATTGCTGTGATCTGGGGTTGTCCCGGGGCGTGCGAGGCTCTAACCTGCGCTCCAGTTTAAGCACCCAACAGCAGGCACGGGTCAGGAAGGAGCCACATAGAGGGGATCTCGTCCTGGACCATGGACCATCCCTGCAGGGGGATGCAGGTGGCCCAAGGAGAGCCCCAACCGAGCTGCTGGGTGAGAGCAGAGCCGGGACCGAGCGCTGGGACCTCAGCACGAAGCAGGAGCCGGGGCCGGGGCGCGGGACGGCTCCGTGCGCCCGGGCTAAGGGACACGCAGGCTGGTCAGAGAAGGGCACACGGGACCAAAGGCCTTATCCGGGCTGGGAAAAAAACAGGACGAAGAATGTGGAGTTTGGGACGTGGTGTTTTCAAAGTCTAATAGTCTAACAGCAGCGAACGTGTCTGAGAGATGACCATGCCAGGCTAGGAGCAGGTATCACTGTGGTCGGGGTGGAACGACAAAAAAAAAAAAAAAAATACTAGAAGGATTCTGTTGATGGGGTAAACTAAAACCCACCCTTCCTGGACACTTCAAAGTGAAGGTGGAATTTGGCTCCTGTCGCATTAAAGATGAATATCTGTTAAAATAAAGGGATCTGCAGTGATTAACTGCAGCCTCCCTGCATATGTGTAATCACCCCGCAGCTGAGTGAGGTCTTGATTGAGAGGTTTCTTCAATGCTGGAGCCTGCAGCATTGCAGGCAGCAGCATTTTGCTCCCTGGAGAGTGAGAGAGGAGCTTTAGATGGCAAAAAAACAAACCAGAGAGGAGGAAAGAAAAGGCAGCCAGGTTTTGGGTTTGGCCATGTGGATGGCACGGTAGCTCGGGAGCCGCAGCGAAGCTTCACCCCGCCGTGCAGAAATGGGTGCACAGACCGGTCTCTGCGGGCGCTGCTTGCCCTTGGGCTTCACTGTGCCCGAGTTCACTGATCTGGCAGAAAAACAATGCACCAGGTGCCCGGCTTTGTACCCAGCTCCTTGTGGTCAGCTGAGCCGGAGGTTGCAGAGTCCTTGGATGCGACTGGAGGGCGGTTAGAGCAGGGTGACTGAAGGCAGGTCACGTCCTGGGAAGCTGATGAGACCCTTCAGCTGCAAGAAGGTCCTTGGAGGGGAGGATTTGCACCTGGAATACTGAGGATTCCCAACCAGTGAAACTGCTGCAGACCCCGAGCACTTGCCGCCCTGCACAGACCCATCGTCTCGGCCGTGGGGAAGGGTTTCCCGAGACCTGCTCTGAAGCCATAGAAGATTCTGCAGCTTGGAGCCAGGGTGAAGTCATAGCTGGGCCGGGGCCACCAGCAGCTCCTGTGGAGGGAGCAGCTCTGATCCTTGCCCTGCCCTTTGCCCTGAGGCTGCTCCGGGGCCTCCCTCAGGGCGCAGCAGGGTGATTCAGCGCCCAAAAAGTGATGGAAAATTAACCCAACCAGAAAAAAAAGGTACATGAGCATTTTTAAAGGGGCAGGATATTAAGACAGCTCGGCTTGCAATCAGAGCACGGAAAAGGGGCAGCTGCTGGAGGAGAGGGGGAAAGCCAGGGCCAGGGAGGAGCGAGGCCTCCAGCAGAGCTGGTCTTGCACGTAGCTTCAGCCAGAGACACGAGCGGGTTCTTGAAACCACAGGGAAAAATTAAGAGTGGAAGCCCTTGAACAGAGGGATCTGAAATCTCAAAAATCAGGGTTTTCCAATTAATGTTTAATAGCTTCTGGAAGAAAGTGAACAAGCAACCCCAATGTGCGCACGGTGAGACTCAGTTTCCCTCCTCTTTCCTGCAGGAGAAACCCAAGCCGAGGATCCCTGTCTGTCACTTCAGAGAAGCAGCTCCGCCGTTCGTGCTCTGCGTGAAGCTGGTGAGTGAGCTCCTGCACAAGCGTGCATGCACATGCATGCGCAAGCATCAGTGTTTGTGCCCTGTGAATAGGTATTGGTTGGGAATAGCTTTTCATGGAAGCTCTAAAATGCCTTTTCACTAACTTGATTGTGTGCAGTATTTAGGGGATTTAAAACAGTGTTAAAAAACAGGCAGTATTAAGACTAATAAAAGGTAGAGCTCCTGTAAATGAGTTTGGGTATGTTTTACCTGCTTATCCAACACCGTTATAGGCACAAAAGGGACTATGCAGCCAGCCACACAAGAGCACAGTAGCAAACACGGACTAATTGTAAGTAATGTGTATCTAATAGTATCTTTATCAGTGGCTACAAATAGGCTCAGGCAGTAAAGACTGTTAAAAATCTGTTCAGGGATTGATTATCTGCATCTCGGCCCTCCTCTTACCGTCCCTCTCTAACTTGGCACTCCCCTCCTTGTGCTCAATGCTGAGCTCATAACGTGCGCCCTGTGAAGCCAGCCTGAAAGGACCTTAGGGCATTGTCATGATCTGTTGTTTGATAGACTGTTGGCTAAGCTCATGATATTGCAACTAATTTAATTTTTCATACTGCATATAATGGTGGGTGGAAGTCCCTCGACAAAACATCTGTGCAACCTGTTGTCGGAGGCAGTGCGTTCCTGACGCCTGCACAATGGGCCCATTCTGCAAAGCCCAGCCCAGGGCTTCGCTTGTGGCTTCAGGTTCTCCCGCTGCTCGGCACGGAGCGGATCCCACCGGCTGAGCCATGCGGTGCCCTGGCTGAGACGATCAGGACAGTTTGTGCTGTGTAATGTGAACTGCTTGGGATCGCTGCACACTTTGTGGAGTTGCTTCTAAAACTTTGTGAAGCAGCTTGATTTTTAGGAGGAGGCCAATAGCCATTTGTGTGGGGCCAGATCTGTAGCAGCCATAGACAGATCTTGTTAATCACAGGAGAAAAAAAAAAAAAAAAGGAAATGATAGAAAATGATAGAAACATGGACATTTTATCTGTACCAAAGAGTAGGAAGGGAGAAACGGGATCAGATGGTCTCAGGGAGCGAGTTGGTTGTCTTACGGACCCCTCTGCAGAACTTTGTGCCCCCATCCCTGGGTTTTGCAGCTCAGCTGCAGGGAGAGGTTTCTCAGCAGCCTCCTCGGCCGCTGTCACCTTTGCTGCGTTTCGTTACTGTTGGGTCCTGGGGGGAGCTGCTCGGGATCCAGCAAACCCACTTTTTGCTGCTCACGAGATTGTGACTGGACTGAAATGGCCACGTTTCTCACTAGACGTAGAAAGTGAAACCAAACAAGCTTGTGGGTGTCTGGTCTGAAATGCTGGGGTACCTCCCTGCCCTCAAACTGGAGGCCTGGCCACTAGAGCAAAGGGTTTCTGACGGGGCTGCAAGGAGCAGAGTTGAGTCCTTCCCCTCTGCTGATCCTGGCACAGGCCCGGCTGGCTCTGCTGGGGCGCCAGACGTTGGGGTCTGTTGTCTCCTGTGCAGACCTCCGCTGAAAAATGAGCTAAATATCCAACCGCCCCCCCAGCTTTTAGCAACTGCCTTTTTTAGCAATTGCCTTTCCTACCTTTTCCTTTCCAACATGCTTTTTGCAAGTAGGAGCACAGCAAAAGGTGGAGTAAGGGGATAAGTACACAGCTATTACGACAGAATACCCTGGTGCCCGCTGCGCATGGGGCAGTTGTCAGCTGCCCCAGGATGGGTCATGCACCCAGCTCTGCAGCTCATGCAGTCACAAGGGAAGAGAAAGGAAACCCCAAGCGAAAGGGCAGCACTTGGGGTGTCCCCAAGGGCAACAGCGGGGAGCTCGCTGCGCTCTGCCACTGGCTCTGGTTGCACCTTGCATGGAACTGTCGTAGGGCTGAATGAGCTGCAGAGCCTCTTCATTAAATCATTAGCAAGTACCTAAAAGATGTGGACAGCCGATTTCAGCTTCATTAACCCACCCCAACCCTCAGGAGCATCCTGCATCCTTCTGAAAAAAGTGTTCTGGAGCTTTCTTGCCGGCTTCGGTATTCAGTACCGAATTCGGTATTCCTTTGTCAATGAATAATTTTTAGAAAAAAAATACATTATCATATTTTTTGTTTAACTTGCAAGAAGTTTTTTACAGGGCTGTAGCGGGCCTGCAGCTGAGGAAGTGCCGCTGCGTGTGTGTCCATGTTCACCCAGAGACTGAATTCCCTGGTGGAGCTCCTGGAAGCCGCCTGGCAGCCCGCGGGCCCCTCAGCCACGGGCTGCGTCGTGCGGGCGCCCTCGCGCCCAGCATCGTGCGGGCGCCCTGGCGCCCGGCGGGCTGCGGCGAGGGCGAAATGCCGGGAAATGGCTGCCTGGGCCCCGAGTCCAACTGCTTGAAATGAAAGGGATTTTCTACTTTCCGTCCCAGTAATTAAACTAGTTTGATTATATCAAGTGAATTTACTGTTAGACCACTTACAGTAAAACACTGCCGGGTTATGTCACCTCTCGTGTTCTGGGACTGAAAGACTTGGGTTTAATGAGCCGACTTCATGCAGCAGCTGGGCTCCTTTTAGTTTGTGTTTCGTAACCCTTCCTTAGAGCAGGTGCATTAGAGCAGTTCTGTCGCCCTCGCCCTGACTCGGGCAACGCAGGATGGGTGGCACCGTTAGTGGAGGGGCGGTCTGGGCTCGGCGGCACCTTCGCGTCACCCAACGGGCCGGTGACCACCCGTCAGAGAAGCCGCCTTAGACATTTCATGGCCAAGGGACCTTTCTGCACTTTTCCAAACTCTTCATTGATTATTATTGTGTCATTTTTAGGATCAGTAGATATCAGAGCTCAGATACTAACCGGCAGCCCTGGAGTAATGGTTTTGTTGAGGATCTTAAGATTTTCATGTGGGTTTTTTTTGGCATTGCCAGTGAAAATGGAAGAAGGTAACGGGTAGGTGAGTGTAGCACAGAGCAAGTGGAATTGGTCAGTGCCCTGGAGGCCCCACACCTTGGTTTGGCCAAGAGACTTGCACTATAAGTACTTATAAATTCAAGCAGGGCAAAAGAGGAGCTTTGGAGACAACAGGTTGGTTGGTTTGGTACCTGGAACTGCTGTTTCTGATGCCGCTTCAGAAGAGCGACGAAGCCCTCGGAGCTCCGGACATGCAGACCACAGGCCTGGGGATTTTTCATGCACTCAACCCCACCCTGGAGCCGTATCGAGGCAGCCTTGTGTTGGCTCCCAAGTACTATGAGCACATTCGGAAGCAGCAGAGTTTGCCTAGGAGATGCCTCCTGGCCCAAACCTGGGCTTCTCCTGCTGCCCGTGTCAACGAACTCACCAAACATTTTAATTTGAACACAATTTTTGCATGAAGACATCTCTGAGCCCTCTCCCATTTATGTTTAGCTCTGCAAATAGGACTTGTTTCGTGGTCTGAAGAAGCAAATGAGTGACAGGTCTATCAGTGACCTGACATGAGCTTGTCTGTTTGATCCATGCTCTTTCTTCCCCCACAGGATTTGACAGGAGGAGCATTCGAAGCAAACTTGGCGGCGCTGAGCTTGAAGGAAGGGGTGGATTATTATCACTTCAGCTGACCGCTGAGGTAGGCGGCGAGCGCAACGCCACGTGCATCTGTGTGTGCAGGATGACCCAAGCACTCAGAGGCCTGGAAATCTCTTAGCATTTTGTGTTTCACTAATTTAGTCTTTGTTCTGATGAACTCCTTAAGGGAGGACTCAGTTACATGGCATTTGCTTTCACTGCTATTGTACACAGCTCTTCTATTGAACTCAGTTTGATTGCCGAGTTGTATTTCTGACTTAAGTAGCTACCAAACCTAAGCCTTTAGATTCCAAGGGGCCTGTTACCCCCAGGAAGCATTAAAAACATCAGGCAAGGCCCAGAGCTGGGCCTGTGAAGAGATGCAACTTAAATGCTATTTTTCACCTTTATGCACACAATTTTACTCTGCTCTACACAGAATTTCATCTCCCAGGCCAGGTTGCAAGTAGACTTTAAAAAGAGGTTGAATAAGCTGTCATGTATAGCTGGTCTCTTGAAAAGCAGCAAGAACCTCACAGCAAGACATGCTATGGTTGTGGCAAGGAACCACCTACATCACCAGAGTGCTGCAGGCTTCAGCACTCAGCAGCCCAGGAACTGGCTCATTTTTAGTTCCTCCTCCTGCTATTTTTCTTTCTTTCAACTGTGCATGTATATAACAGGTATATCCAACTGCTGTTCTAGATGAAGGGCTGGGACAGCAGGGTTTAATTAGAACCATCAAATAACCAGGCATAATTACAGTATCATCTCACCTGTGCATTTGCCCCGCAGTCCCATTCGTCTTATTAAAGGTAAGTGTTATGAGTCCTACTCCCCAAGCCATTTTCTTGTGTAGTCAGTAAGTAATGAGCTCAACTCAGCAGTTGCTTGGGGAGCTGATTCATCACCCTTGTAATTCTTCAAGGGGAAAAAAAGAAGCTCAAGTCTCTAAAGCTAGTTGGACACACAGATATTTGCTTAGAGGGGTTACATTAAAGAGCTATTAAAAGAGGTAAAGTGAAGGCTGGGTATTTTGGTTTGTCTGTGATCACTTGACGAGTGACAGACCTCGTCACAGGGATACTTTACCTTCAGCAAGGTGTCATCCTCACTAAGCACTGCCAGTCTTACCCCCCAAAAATGTTTCTTTTACGAGGATGGTGAAGCAAGTCAGGTTTAATAACGCCACGTGTGCTCAGCAACAGTGCTACATTTGGGCAAGCACAGGTTCATTCAGAGCTGGAGAGGCCAAGATCACTGCCATCAAAACTGCAGGGCAGCTGGGCCAGCAGTATGAAGACAAACTGCCATCTTGTGGCTGCCAACAATGAATTTAAGAACAGAAATACCACAAATCTTCGTTGTCTTCATATGGCACAGCTGCGCAACACTTTAAAACATATTGTCTGCCTCTTATTTTGCTGGACAGGGAACGTCTTGCTGATGAGCCACCTCGTCATGGTGCCACAGCTCAAACTCGTGCACGTCCAGACAGCCCCTGAACCCAGAGCTTGGGGCTGCAAAGCAACAGCCAGGGCAGCAGCTTCGTTACGCCGAGCTCTACAAGGGGAAGGAGAAAAGAAGCGGTCACAGGGAGCAGTGAATGTCCCTATTTCATCATTATCTCAGTCGTGGTAAAATGAACCAAATGGAGATGAAAATGTAAGAAGATGGAGTCATTTTCACAGGCCTCAACTTTTTTTTTTAAAAAAAACTACCCTTGAATAAATTCTGTTTGTGCAAGTTTTGATGGTATTTGGTAAGTGCTGATTTCATCTGGAAGGCGCTTTAGGTGCCTCTTCGTGTCGCTCCGCTTGCTGCTCCCGGGGCAGAGCGAGCCGGGCGCTGCGGCAGCCCCGGGCTCGGGGTCAGCCCGGCCCGCGGCCCTCAACAGCCCAGTGCTGTTTGCGGCAAGGGGAGCACCAACTTCAGCAGGTTCCCAGGTTTCTCCTTATTAGTGCCATTTCCATTCAAAACGCTTGCATGTTTGTCTAGTAGGGTGTGTGTTATTCATATCATGGAGTCACAGAACGGCCGAGGTTGGAAGGGATCCCTAGGGATCATCCAGTCCAACCCCCTGCTCCAGCAGGGACGCCCAGAGCAGGGGCACAGCGTCGATGTGTATTAGCATATATTACAATTAGCTTTGAATATTTTCACTTGTCAGCCTTTTCTCTGTCTCCATGTCAAGATTAAGGTATTGGAATATGTTTTGGCTATCAGTGAGTTAATCACGTAACATCTTCATTTTCAAGATAACATTTCTATTAGTTGACTAGAAGAACTAGATTTTATTAATTTGAAAAGGAATACTTAGGACAGTTTTTGCTCTAAAAAAGAATGCTTTGGATGAGTGAGGCTCTTATTTTCTAAAATTGTCAGGCACAGGGGTTTTTAATTTAAACTAAAACCAGAAAACTGTGGAAAGGGCCCTGTAAAAACTGGGAAGACAGGTGAAGAGACTGAAGAACAGGTTGTCTTTGAAGATTATTCATATATTGCTTTAATATTGGTCTGTATTATTTTTAGAGCTATAAGGGAAAACATAGGATTACATTAGGAAACATCTTTCCTTGAAAGGATTATCAGAATATTAATATTAAACAGGAAGAAGTGACCAACCTTGAAGACTCATGTAATGTAATCCCAAACAGAGCCAGTTCACAAGTATTACTAAGTGCTTAAGGGATAAATGTGGCAAAACCTATTTAATTATTTTCCCTCCATGTTGTTTATCCTGCTCCCTGAGCCCTCCCCTCTTTGAGCACAGGAGACAGGGACCTCTCTGAGGAATTCTTATCAGAGCACCAAATGATGCAGTCCTAAAAAATAAATACTTGGCTCCTGGGCAGTCCCAACCCCTGTAACAAAGGGAGAAAGGAGCAGTCTGTGAGTGCACTGCCTCCCTCCTCGCGCGCTGGCACCATCGGGGAGCGTCCCCAGACAGACAGACCAGGGCTCACTGAAACATCTGGGCTCTGTTATTTCTTTCTTGCATTTTCTCTGAGTAAGATGTCACACCGCAAGTCTGGAATGTGCTCAGGAAATGAGGCTGGAAGGGTTTAAGAGCAGAGTCTTCAGCAGCTCCATATATCGTGCAGTTAGCTCTGAGGACATTTCTCTGGGTACACATTTATTTACACACGAGCCAGTGAAGAGCAGCATGCGGTGTACAGCAGCACACAGTGTGTGTGGTGAACAATTGATCCTTACAATGTTTCTTTAAATACATCTATCTTTATATAGACACATACATGTCAGGAGCACAATCCCACGCTTACCTTGGCTACCAGCTGCGGCCTGGGCAGTTTCAGAAGGTCACAGAGACAGTTGCGTTTCGCTCTCACTGCTGGTAATTCAGCTTCCCTGCACGAGCACATTAATTGTTCAGTTAATTCAGAACCAAAGACCCGACGGTGGCCGCATGCATACAAAAGTACACGTCTGGTCTTTCATGCACGTTTCAAACTAGAGAAGTTTTCTGATGTGTCAAATTCTAAGAAAAATACAAATTTTCTGCCATGCATTGAGCCAGATAAACCATAAATAAATACACAACTGGTCTCCTGCAAGTGACAGTGACTAGTAAAACTTAGAAGACTGTATTTTTAGATCTTATATTCTAAAACTTAACGCGTTTTCATGCCTACCCTTTGACTATAAATTTACTAATGTACTCTCTCATCTGACAGTTCCTTTTTTTTTGCACTAGAAAATATCACACAAAGAGTTTAAATGTCGGCAGATCTGGAAAACATTCTGCTATCTTGAGAAGCTTTATGCTGAAATAAATAAAAAAAACCCAGACGTTTTAAAAGCTCCCGAAATAGCACAATGTTCATGAGATAACTTCCTCAGCGCTGCCAAACCCCGAAAGGGCCAAGCTGCCTCCCCAGAGCCCCCTCCCAGGCTGCAGACATCCCCGGCCGCCCGCCCGCCCTGCCCGTCAGCAGCCTGGCTCTAAGGCACAGCTCCGAACGGCTCCTTGCACATAAACCGACCCCAGAACTACGGCAAAAACGCACAGACCGGGGGCTAATTACAAATAACTCTGTTTTTAAAAAAACACGTGGGACAAATCATCAGGTTTAATACTGGAAACTTTCCATTAGTTAAACAAAATTTATTATTTTTAGTGTAATTTGTTTAAACTCTAAATTACACAATCAGATGATTTGCAGTTCCCCTTGCAGTTCCCAACGGGAGAAAAGTTTCAAAAATGTGTATGCCGGTAATTGCCAGCTGCCCCAAATATTTAAATCTCCTTTGGCTTCCTGAAGTTCATGCTTATTTTAATTCCGCGTTTACTAAGATGGCTGTAGCACCGAGCACGCGGGGATTTATAAGCAGCTCGCTCTGACACTCAGCAATGACTTCAAAAAATCTTCTTCTGTAAACGGCTGAAGTCTCCCCAGATAAAACAATTAGGCCTTAAGTAAACTGGCCCTCAGCTTTAAACTGGCCCTCAGCTTTAATCTCGGAGCAACAGGCGTTCTGCAACTGGCAGCTCAGAGCAGAGGGAACGAAATGGGCAGCCGTTTGCAGCCTCAAAACGACCATTTCCGTGCTTTGGGAAGGGCTTTAGGAGGAGAACTGTGTTTTGCTGCAGCAATTCCTGCGGGCCGCTTTCAATCTGGTGTATTGCCAGCGCCTGTTACTGGTGACGGTGCTCAGCTGATGCTGCTCGGGTCTTTTGGTTATTGCTGCAGTTTATTCCTGATTGCTGTGGGTAGAATTCACCAAAAAAATCCCTTTTCAGGGAGCAGAGCAACTCCTCTGCAAGCCTGTTGTGAGCTCACACTTAATACTGAGGAGCACTAAAGGTAATCATCTTAAACATTAGGCTGTCGTTGAGCAGAAGGGTTCTTAAAAAGCCATTCTTCAAATCTGAGGTGAGTGTAATTTTTGTCCTAAAAGTTTAAAGACAAACAGGAATAGCCACCCTGCGCCATGACAAAGTAACTGGACTTTCGGGGAAAGAAAAGGATTTGAATTTATGCCCAGAAATAAGCTAGAAATTAGGTAAGACTTGAATAATGTGAGCGGACAGTCCAAAAATACATAAAGCACCATCATGCAGGTACACATGTTGTCTGAAATTTCAAGGAATAACAAAAAGCCATTTGAGATACGGATTAAATAGCACTAATGTGTTTTTAGTATCTGGCTATCCTTGAACTCCTCCTGAAGCACGAAATCTGGCTGCATCAGCCTGTTGGGCCAGCGGAACCGTGACCCAGTACATCCTTCTGTAATGAGGAAGAAAGCTTAAAACAGCAGCCAAACTCATAAACTAATTAGTATCTTAAACCTCTTATTGCTTCAAATATCTCTGGCATGCAGACTTTTATAAACATTTCCAGGTAATTATAGAGCACAATGCTAAAATCCTTGGAAAACAACAAAATCCCCTGCCAAGATGTGGTAAGCTGTTGTCCTTTCTCTAGTCACTTTATGGTTCCGTTCAATTACTTTCTTTGATGTAAAAAATCTGCTCTAAGCTAGTAAATATACAAAATAATTCCCGTTGCGACTGCCAGGGACTGGGAGGACGCGGCCGGCGCGAGCCCCGCCGCCCCGCCGCCCCGAGCAGCACCCGCGCGCGGCTGTGCGAGGTGAAAAACAGTGACAGCAGCTGAAACACGTCCAAAGCATCCAACTGCATCAACACAGGGATACTGGGGAACAGCGGGACCCTCCTCCTCCCTCAGAAGACGCTAGAAGTAGAGATAACAGTAAGCAAAAAACTAGAAAGATAAAAGCTTTTTTTAATTGATACAGCCATGGGCTCAGGAAGTGTCTGAATGATTCGAACTCGTTTGTCTGGATGCAAAGATTGTGGCATTTTTGAGCCATTACTTTTCATAGGAAATCTGAGCTGCTGTGCTAATTCTGTTGTTTTCCAACTTGCAGAGATCCTGCCTTCTTCCAAAACCTTGCCAGGGCTCATAAATGCCAAGAAACTGTCTGTGCAGTTGAAGTGTGTCTGTTTGCACAGCCCAGTCCCTCTGTGTTTCATGGAGAATTTCCAAGATCTCCTCCCTTTTTATGTTGTTAGAAAAATAGGGGTATTCACTTTATCCAGCGGTGTTTTTGTAAACTCACACCACTTTGGTGGGACAGTAAAACACACAGATCTTGTGAACAGAAGGGTTCTTTTCAGGAATGCCCTTTTGGCCTAGAAGCGATAAATAACTAAATAAGACTAAGGCATCATACAACGTCCCTGCCACCCTTTCTCCAAGGTATGGACCTTTTTCTGAACTTCAGTGGTACAAAAGTTATTTGAACTCCTATTACTCTTGGACAAGTGCACTCACCAGTTGGTATCGCTGAGTATGGTCAGGACCTCATCCACAAGGGCAGGATCGACGACATCGCTGTAGGTTATCAGCATTTCATACACCTGACTGGCCGTTGTTTTCCTGATCTGCAAAGACAGGGGCAGAGGGAGTTTTCCCGAAGCAGCCGGAGCGCTGGACGGAAGAGGCCGCGTCCGGACGCTCGTCCTGACGGGGAGCCCGGCCGCCCTGCAGACCTGCGGCTGCTCCCAGGGCGTCCCAGCACCTCAGCACCATCCTGCTCCTACAAGAGCTGTTTGCACTAAACTTCCGCAGCGTTTCAGCGGAAGAGGGCCACAGAACTGTGTGTTTATTGCTACTTTAGACACAACTCAGGATGGCTGTGGCCGAAAATCCTGGGTTCTACCAGAATACTTTGGATGGGCCTCACAGCACTTGGATCTTTCCATTTGAGTGGGAACCAGCTTTTGGCTACAACTACTGCACATTTCCTTCAGCACTTGTATCAGTTTATTTACACTGAAATAATCCCACTCTCTTCTAGCTTCCTCTCAGGCTGAGTCACAATTTCAGCGAGAGCACCAACGCATTCGGAGCACCAGTGAAGAACAGTCAAATAGTGATATTTGGTTTTGCTCAGGATGTTCCAGGAGACTACATGAAACCCTGCTGAGTTACCTGCTTGCCAATTTAAACCATCTTTGAATGTGAACTAACATTTGTCAAAGCATTTTTCTCCTCGTTAGATTGCAGTCATCAATTAATGTTACCTTGCAACTACTTTCCTGTCCTTAGAGCAAAGTTTGTAGGAGGCAGAAACATCAAAGCACGTAACTGAGCTGTTGTTACCTGAGTGTTGAGCAGCACTGCAGCATTAGCCATTGGCTTCTCCAGCCCACTCTGCCTACAGGGAGAGCTGCTGACCTGCCCTTGCAGACAATCTTAAAAATCGTGTATGGATTAATTTAACTTACCATGGCTTATAAATAATAATAATAAAAAAATGGAATCAGATAGCTGAATGTGTGTCACCTGCATGAATGGGCACTCCTATTCACACCGGTACTTGGCTCCAGACTAAGAAGGGGATGAGGGTGAGAAAAGCACGTTTTCCAAAGCTTGTGCTTTTCAGATCTGTCCCTCACAATGAAAGATTTATTAAAATGTTTGAGAACAGCCCAAGAGGAGCATCCAGCGTTTTGCAGCGACTCACTGGGGCAGTGTCTGGCTCTGACTTCGGTTGCTCTAGGGCTACTTACGCCCACGTGGCTGAGCAGAAGCATCAGCAAAACTTTCAGCTAAGGCGGAAGGCAGACCATGATGTCAGCAAAATTAGTTTTCCGGAGCAGAAGCTGTCCAAAGTGGTGAATTTGCAAGTGTTTCCCCAGAGCCCTGCTTAGCAGTGATGCTGCTGTAGGTACCGAGGCAGCAGCCTCGGCTCGTTTCTTAAGTATAACACAGAGAAAGACACTGGGGGAAGACAGCAAAATTACAACACAAGCGAGTTTTAATTTCAGTTTTTCAAGAAATAAGATAAAGGAAGAAGAGGCCGATTTCTGGAGATCCAATGATATTTTCATTTGACTCAGCTGTAAAAAAGAGTATCTATTTATCATAAAATTGGAACAGAACTCTGCAGATTTAAAACTGCTGCCTTTTGCACCTCCTGCAAGATGTCCTTAGTGCAGCAAGGAAACACAACATGAAAGTATTTGGAGCCCAAATTGTTGTGTTGTAAATTGTTAAACCTCGCTGTGTAGCACAGGATTTTAACCTGCGCTCAAAAGCTGCAGATATCTACTGGCCAGACAGACATCTAAATACATTTCTCCTGAACCAGAACTACTGGTGTGTTGCTGCTGTCAGGCAGTAACTTCTGTTATGATAAAAGCCTTCAAGCCCTAAGTGGTGCAAAGATCCTCCTCGTGTTGTATAACAACAGCAAATTAATTACCTAAATAATTTCTAATTAAAAATTGCACAGATAGAAGGCATAAAAACAGTAGATAGAAGAGCAGGGCATTCTGTCAGGATGCAGGAACCTGTTTCAGGTAGCAGCCTGGCAAGTAGAGATTGAGATTAAATAATTTGTATACAATAATTTCTGGCAAAAAAGAATGCTGTTTTAATAGATTTTTTAAAAGAGTATTTTATATATTGCACTTTGGTAATCCAATATGTCTGGCAGGCAATACATCATATATATATGTATTATTTATTTTATATATATATATATATTTATATATGTATCTTCAATACTTACTAAAGGAAAGGGATGGCAAAGGAGGAGAAACAATTGAAATAAAACTTTTTCTCTCATGTCTCCTTGGAACTGCACCAGGCCACAAAACCTAGGAAGAAACAAGGAGACAGAGGTCTGGGTGACTTGTGGTGAGCGTTGCTCACGTGCACCTTGAAGCTCCCGCTGAGGACACCCAGCACGGGGCGCCGCAGGCCCGGGAGGTGCTGTGGGAAAGCAAACACTGCCGCGAGCGCGGGGAACCCTTAAGGGTGGCTCAAGTGCACCCAGATGCCCCCGCCTACGCCCAACACAAACACGGGTTTCAGCCTCGAGCCGGGCAGCAGCAGAGGCTCCGAGCTGGACAGGGTCCGTGGAGCAAGCTGCCACTCAGGGCACGGCGCAGCCTTTACTCGGGGAAGGGCAGATCAGAAGTGCGGGGTACTTCTGCTTTTAGGCTTTCTCAGACTCAATCTATTGCCAATCAAGAAATGCAATTTAAGTCACATACCCATGCTTCTAGTAGGTATACACAAATAATTTGTCTCTCCTCCTCAGCCAGCATTGCATTTCTCCACGCTTCTCGTTTGACTGCTTTGCTTTCTGCACTGAGGATTTTTCCCTAGAGCCACACTGTAATTTTGCCAGCACTTTTAGCTCTTTCTGCTACATATAGAAGAGTTGATCATGTCATATATCCCTTGGGGACATCACTAGAGTCAAGCTCTGTGGAGGCAACACACCCAGTACATGGCTGCAAATGGCAACAACGTGGTAGAAGTTGCAAACTTTAAGATGTCTTCACATAATTTAAGAAGTTTAAGAAATCTTCACATAATTTCACTCCCACCACCCGGAAGAAGGGCCTAAAACTCACACAACCCTATGTTACATGTATTTTTATGTATTTTCCACTTGTTTTGTTGTGTGCAAAGGCCCTTGCTGTTTTGTTTGGGCTCTACTGGCATGAAGTTCGCTTCGCTCCTTACAAGCAGACACAAAATCACATTATTTCTCAACTCACACTCCGATGCTGGAGCGAAGTTTCCGTATGTCTTTGGATTTTTTGATCTCTTCTTTACACAGAGCAAATAACTTCAGTGGAAATGGGTGGCTGAAAAAGAGAGAGAAAAGAGATGAGAAACGGGTGTCAGCACCCTTTCCTTTTCAGTCCACGACTGAACAAGCTGCCGGATGAACAGTGAAGCCAGAAACACCGCAGCCCGGAGCAGCATCTGTCCTGCCCCTACCCGAGCGCGCCCTGCCTGGAGGACACAGGCCGGTGGTGGCCGCGTACGGAGCGGCCAGGTCACTGTCACCAGTGGCGGTGGCACCCGCGTGCCGAGCAGAGCGCCACGCTCAATGCACCCACAGTGATCTGCAAATTGTTTAAGTTCCACCACGCTTTCAATAAATGACCGCTGCTCTTGGGGATGTGCTGCTCCACAGCGCCGATGCTCGCCGCGGTCGCAGGCAACGTGACCAAACACGGGGCGCAGCTCCGGAGAGGGCTGAGCCCTGAAGCCATCGCTGCCTGTGTTCAGGAGTTCCTGCCCCATCTCCGTCTGGGAAACGGATTCTCACAGCTCTTTCCCAGACACTTGTGCAAACACAAGTATTTAATATCGCCCAAGGAGCTATTAAGGAGAACTAAAGAGGAAGTATTATTTTTATTTCAGGACTAATTATTTAATCTTTCACTCAACACGCACCAAGCCAGCCATTTGAAGTGTCATAGATGCAAACGAAACTATTTCGTATTTGCTCAGCAAGCCCAATTAACTTCTGGACTGCACATTTGGGAAATCTCTCTGTACTGGGTAGGTAAAGCAGCACACAAAAACCCTAGGATTTATTTTCTGCCACTGTGCTTCAAAGCTATAAAGTATTCAAATACAAAATAAATAAAAAAATATGAAAACAATGTGTCATGTTTCAAAATATGAAAACATATGTACATGACAATGCAGTGTCATCTGTTTGAAAATAAGGCATTTAAAACAAGACGAGGATTCATAACGATGAGGAGACGTTTCGTTTCCACAGTTGCTCTGGTGGCGCCGTAGGAAGATGCCCAGCGCGGCACGGGGCCCGCGCGCCGCCACCGCCTGTGTCCGGGCCGGACGTGCACCGGGAAGGGCATCCTCCACCTGGAGCACCTCACTGAGCCCCTTCCCTCGGAGAGCCCCCCGGAGGCCGAGGGGAGCGGGAAGCTCCGGTGTGGAGGGCTAGCATGGCTGGGAAAGGACAGCTGGAAAGGGGCACACAGAGCTTTCCTCGCAGCCTACAGATTCCAGGCGGGCTGAGCACCGGGTGGCAGCTCCATGGTCGCTGGGTGCCCGCGCCGGGCGTCTCAAAGCCCCACGGGAGGAGGCCGTGGCGGGGAAGGGAACCAGGGCCCTGGGCACCAGCCCTCCCTGCGGCGCCGCAGCCGCCTCTCGCCCGCACCGGGGGCATGAGCTGGGCACGGAGCTGGGCCCGACGTGGCCTAGGGCACACAGCAAAAGGCACCACAGGAGGCACCTCCACAGGGCAGGAGTGACACCCTGTGGCAGCGGGCACCAACAGCCACCTCGGGCTCCTACCCCGTGCCCGGCTGCTCACCCTGCTCAGATTCATCACTCTAGGGTATCACCTGCTCTGGAGAGCTAATATCTCCTTAGAAAACGAAGTCCAAGAGGGTCCACAATGCCCATTTTAAACTTCAAAAATTCATTTGCAAATAACTACTAAATATATACATTATATACATTAAATGTAATGTAGCAGTCAACTATCAGTCAACTAACAAGCACTGAGTGCAGGCGCAATCTGTGCTGGTCCTGCTGCCAAGTTCCCTTGCTAAGGCTCCACGGTGCCCAAAACGCAGCAAAGAGACGAGGGGGAGGGAAGAGGTGGGAGCCCCACACCCCACGAACGCTGCTGCTTCACGTGCAGCTTCCAGAGAAGCTCCTCATTTTACATTCCCATGGCCAACAAGGTTGATCTAAGGCATGTTATCTAAATACACACTTGACAACAAGACTAGAATCAATTAAAACTTTTAGACTGATAAAATTTCTTCATGTTCTTCTGCTGTTAGTTCTAGAACTAACAAACCCGCTCTCTCTGCTGGGGAATACCTGCTGTACTGATCTGCAAGTGTCTACACACGTGCCCAGATGCTGCTTGCAAAGCTTTGTGGAACACGTTCTCATCTTCCTGAAATTAAAAACATTCTCTTCTGAAACATCAGCAAGAAAAACACTATTTCATCCTGGAATACTTTATTCATTCTTATCCATTCCTGAACTAAATACTTTCCAGAGTACGGAGCTCGGAAAAGCTGGGACGTGCCTTTGCTATTCTTATTAGAATCTTAATTAACTTCTTTGGAGATAATTCACATTAGCAGAAGCAGGAGGATTTTGGAAGCGATGGCTCCTAGGCACACTGTTTTGCAGCACTACAACAGAACACTACCTCTGGAAAGGACTCACAGCACAGTAAGGAGGGCCACCAAAAAGCACGGTCCCTAGCACTCGGCAAGCTAGTAGCAGCCAGCAGCCAAACGGATCTGAACCTGGCCCAAACCTACCAAGAGAAACACGTGAGTTGAATGTAATGACTTTACTGGTCACGAAGCAACGAACCGATAACCAACTTCTACGCTGAGAGCAGAGCCCAAGAACTTTGTGGAGACATTTTCAAAGCCCTCAGTCCACGGTTTATCTTGGCTGTTGCACTGAAATGTCGCAACTTCAGGAAAATTAAAACAAAATCTTCTATCACATACATGCACGTTCCATAGACACCCACACCTATAGCAGCACGCCGTGTCGGAGCTGAGAGGCCTGTTGCGTACTGCAAAACAAACAAACAGGAGCTTCCAGCAACTTACTTCTCCTGCGTGGTGAAGATTTCAAAGCAGCCATTGGCCAGCATTTGGTCCAGCATCGTCAGGAGAGGTACAGACACCCTGATGAAAGAAAACAATTCAACAATGTAAACACACCTCTTGGCACGCATGTACACAACTATTTTAATTAGACACAACGAAAGAAACTTCCCATCTACCTACATACATTTAAATTAGAGCTCTAGTTTACCCAGGGGAGGGCTGCTCAGTAACTTTTGTGTTGGCTAAATCAGCCTGGTTGGATGAGAGGGGGACACAACATTACAGTCAAAGGGGGAAAACAGACAAAAAACCAAACCCCTAATTAACAGCACGCCTGGTTTGAACTTCCAGCATCCTGAAAATGCAGTTAAAAGAGGTAGAAACTATGAATATATCTGCATATGAACGTATCTAGTACCTGCAAAATTATTTTCAAGTATCTGAGCAACATATTCCACGAAACGCACGAGAAGCGGCAAAACCTCACTGCAATAATTACCAAAGGAACCAACACACCATGTGGTAGCTGGAACAGCCAAAGTCACATTTTCTCTTCCAGAGGCTGAGTCAAAAGACACAACTAAATATAACGAAATTGAAATTCTGTTAACAAGTTTTTTGTTGTTGTTGTTTTTTAAGCCTCTCGAGAAATATTTTCTATTTTACACCTGTTTGCTAAGTGAGGCTTAGAGAAATACACCTCACCATTCAACCTGGGCTACCTTTAGAGAAGAACACTCATATCAGAATTAGGTGTCGAGCACCTAGGAAGGAGCATTACCTAAATGAAATGCAGACAGGACGAGGCTGCCAAGTATATGGCAATATGGAATCCGACTATTGCATCACATAAAATACTGGTGCTCATCACATTGTGACCAATGTTAAGCTACAGTAAGTAAAATAAACTCTACCATCATTCCTTTACTATTCAAAAGTGCCAAGCAAAGTGCACTGAAGCCAGGGGGGCTGGTTCGGGCACCCTTTGCCTTGGCAGGTTGACCTGGCCCGTACACCAGACTGCAAACAGTCACTCAGTCGCAGAAAGAAAGGCCAAACAGAGGCATTACCGGTTGTTCTGCAGGTTGTCCTCAAAGACCTTGAGCAGGGTCTCGCAGAAGCTCCCCATGGCGCTGCCGTCGCCCTGGATTCTCTTCATGTAGTCGAAGAGGCTCTGGGCAGAGTACCGGAGCTGCGGGAAAAGACCACAAGCAAGAAAAGAGCACAATAAAGATTCGCTATTTTCCATCTTTGGAAATAAAACCGCCCCGAAGCACCGTCAAGATCCTGCCTTGCTTTAGATAATCGCGCTGTTACGGCGGGGAAGGCAGCACCTCACCATTCAATGGTGCAAACACTGAAATGTGTTGAAAATGAAAATTCAACGGTGCAAACACTGAATGGTGCGAGCACCTCACCATTCAATGGTGCAAACACTGCGTTCAATGTTTAATTACGCTTAATTATTTCATACTATCTTTTAAAACAACATAGGCATTTAAGACCATTATGAATAACAAGGAAATATTTTGTCTTATTACAAGCAGAGATCATTAGAAACAGAAGGTTGCCCCCATGTCAAGGCTCAGGAAGAGACTTTGGAAGGTCCATGTTCAATTCTGCATCTTTCAGTCCCACATCTCCACACTTCCACACCCCTTTATGGTTCTCTCCTACCATCTTCCAAAAGCTGCTTAATTCTTCAGTGCTTTCCCTGCAGATCCAAATGATTAGGAAGGCAAGAAGGGGCACGAAAGGAACAGGCAAGCAAACGTCTCCTGCACACAGAGCAAGCTGGGCAAGGCAAGACAGAGTAACAAGCTAATGGGAAAGGCTCTATAACAAGGACAGTATTTCTTCATTAGCAACTAGTGACATTCGGTTTAAGTAACCTGGTGATTAAGTAACCTGAATGAAAGTCACTCGGCCATCTACTATAAAAACCCAGAGCTTTACTGTAAAACAATAATCTTTTACAATACAATTTCCCCATGAAATGGGACCATGAGCAAATCTCCTACCAGGGTGGTACTGTCTTACTTCATCTACCATTAAAAGAGTGGAGATTTCTGGTAATAATGACAGAATATGGAGCAAAAGTGTTGATAAAAAGAGAAAAATCAAATCATCTTTATGCCTGCAAAATAAAGAATCCTCTCTGCCCTTTCACACACAGGGGATTCCACATTTCTTTTGCTACTTGGAGAAGTAGATAATGGTTTTGTTAACTCTCAGAAAATGGCCTTAGCCAAGAAAGCAGCCAAAGTGAAAGGTTTTACCAGAGAACAAGGTCACTTTGGGGGACAGACCCACGTAGTTGCTCAGCAAATTTTAAACCAGGACATTTTCCATATAGCCAGCATAGATCCTATGATGTTACTGCAGCAAACTCTAACACAACAAGGTAACACAAGATAAATGAGTTAAATCCGTATTTCCTCTTCAGGTCAACATTCCCTCTTCTCCCAATAACATCTGAGGACGGTATGTGAGCTCTAACCTTCGACTGGTCATGAGTGCTTGCAGAGCACATTTCCAATACCTGCCCCATCCACGCAAGAGTGCAGAATTCACACTTGGTCAAACGTGTGACATTTACCTTTCCCTGGGGCTGCAGCAGGACTGGGAAAGGAAATTAGGAGGTTAATGGCCTGGAACACAGACAGCTTTGGACGAGAACTTGAGAGGAGGCCTGAGAATGACCTTATTCTTAATAAACAGTAAAAACAGAGTTTGCCAAGGCTTGAAACACTTGAACCAATAGTAGGTACTTCAGTGAGAGGCAATATATTGTATGGGCAACACCACCCAAAGGGCCCATCCGATGATAAACCCATAAAATCCTAAGGAGCAAACCTCCAGAATCAGGAGGAAAACATGAACGAGCCTCCTAGGAAGTGCAACAATATCTCCAGAAGGGTGCACGCTATTCAAACAAGGAGGGGAGCAAGAGAGGAAAGGCAGCGACCATGGTGGCCATGGGCTGGAGATCAACACCCCCTCCTGCTGGGTCTCCTCAGAGCCCCTGGGATCTTCAGGACCAAAGACGTCAGCTGCACAAGGCAAGGAAGGCAAGAGCTTGCCCAGCAGCAAGGAGGGCAGCAGGCGGCCCTGCTCCGCTCCGCTCCCTGCGGGAACTGCCCACCCACCACCTGGAAACCTCTGCTCTGAATGGGAGAGGCCACGAGGCCGGGCCACAGGCCTGGCCTTCTGCTGCTGCACTGACTGTTCATGAGGTCAATCCCTCTCGGGAGTGAGCGGGGGGAAATCCTGGAAGTCTGGAGATGAGGAAATAACCAGCGTAAAGCTGCTGTCAAACTGCTAGTAGTGCCGAGCTCAGACGCTGCAGGGCCTCTGCTCTGGGCAGGGCTGGTGCCACAGGTCTGACCCACTCCACCACGGTGCCCAGGCCGCGGGATTCAGGCAGTCCCCGCGGTGCCGACCCCACCAGCAGCACAAGTCCAGCGAATAATTACTGAAACGGCTCAAACAAAACGAGCATTTTTGCCTACAGGGCAAGAACACTGAAGGACCCAGTGCTGAGAGACGTTTTTCAACAGAGAAAGACCTACCTGCCAATCTGCAACACTCGTGTTAACATGGGCAGCACAAAAGCACACTGAGGTTATGCTACGCTCCATAAAAAACACCCGTTTTGGATCACTTAAAGCCCTGACAAATTTACAACACCAAAGTGGCAGTAGCTTATTTTCCCAATAACCTTAAAAAATTGCATATATTTTAAGTTTTAGCACAAGTGAAACCATGTCTCCTTTGTTCTGCTCGCAACACTCCTTTTCAGGTCAAGTCTTCGGAGGCCAATAACTCCAGGTTTCAAGTCAGCGGTATTTTACGTCAAGCAGGAATATAATAATTCACACCACTTCTTTTTTCTTAAAGAGAATGCCAGAAATTCTTCCCAATTGCAGTTCGCTTGCAAGCTTGTCAGGCCTGCTCCAGATAGCAATTCATTCCCACACCAGCAGCCGCAGTGACTTGGGGTTTCAGAACTTCGTGTTCTTCTCATTTTTCACATTATCTATGAACGTCCCAACGTTTTGATTTGTAACAACTAATGCACCTGTTTAATGCACATTTGTTTTGTCCAAACAGCACTGAAGGAAGTCAGGAGTCTACGTGGGAAATGGAAAGGCAGTTCTGAGGAGCCAGCCGTTTGGCATGCAGAACAGATGCCACAGACCTGCCACGGGACTTGACATATGCAACGATTCACTGGACTCATATGGAAGTGGCTGCTATAAGTTGTTACAGTTCTTCAACATATTATTCTAGAATAGTTTTATTGGGTTTTAATTTTCAAAATAGGATATTTTTAAAAAAGGTTTTCTTAAAATTTCTGTAATATTTTAAATATAATTTTCGCTCTTTATGGGGGGTTGGAAATCACAGGAGATTTTGCGTTTTAATAAAACTGAATCCAGTTGAACAGTCATGAAATTATATCAGATAGTTTGCTGGAAACTCTAGGGCTTGTGAACTGCAAAAAGAACCGCTTTATGCTTCTATCTTTGACTGCTGGGAGGATTTTTTATTATGCAGCCGGAAGAAATCGGCATCGCTGCCGTCCAGCTTTATAATTAGAAGATTCTTTTATACAAAGAAAGTGCCCTTTGAAGCAGAGGAATGCTGCGGAATGCCAGATCCGGGCGGGAATGACATCTTCTGCCTTTCCAGGCTACTGGCGGCGCTCAGGCTCCGATTCGTTCGGCGGCCGGGCTGCCTCCCAAGGGCCGCTCCGCAGAGCCCTTTCTGCAACCTCCTCACAAAGCCAAACAAAGGAATATTTTTGCTAATTTTACTGCTGGAGAATTTACTGCTGGCGAAGGAGGAGCCGCCGGCACCGCGGAGCAGCCGCGCCGCGATCAGGGCACGAACCCCTGCGCTCGGATGCTCCGGCGGGCCAGAGAACCTCCTCGCTTCGCAATCTACCTGCTTGCTCAGCGGGACACAATTTTTCAGAGGGAGAGGGAAGGAAGGAGGGATCACAGAACATACAGCTCACTGCTGTATATACAGCAGTATATACACAGTTCAATCAGCTTTTCCCTTTACCCAAGTTCTCAAAAATAGGCTTCTTTCATATCAGTTTAATAGAAAGGGCCCTTAACATTTCATTTAATGTTTAAATCAGTCCCCGAGATGCAGCAAACCACACGAGGGGCTTTGTTAGAATAGTCTGAAACACAAGTCATTATAAGAGACATCAGTCCTAATTTGAGCATCACATTTTTAACATGAAATTTAATTTGCCACATACTGCATAACCCCCGCCTAAGTACCCCTATTATGAGCCTCTCTTGCACTTCTGTCTGGCTCAGAAGGGAATTAGGCCACTTTCTTTTTAAAGCCAAATCCCTTGAGAATATTTTCACAGGAAGAAGCTTTCAGCGTTAGAGAGAAACGCAGGGTCACAAAAAGTTAACGCTTCAAAACCATATTTTGAAAACATTACAGAAGGTTTTCTTTAAATGTGCTGGCAGCTGGTAACAAGGCAAGGCAGCTAGGAGCAACTGCACTGTTTACAGTTTTGGAACATCAAGGACAAGCAGAACTTAAAAAAAAAAGATATGAAAATGTTGAACCTTTTCCTGTGACCTCAGTTAGCAGCCAGAATGTCTGTCCCTCCACAACCTCCCTCCCCTCTTGTGTTTCTAAGGATAATGTTGGCTCCGGAGGAGCCTCCTGTCATTAGCTGTTTGACTGAAACTTGAATTTCAGCTGCATGTCTGCTGTTGAAAGGGAAAAAAAGTCTGCAAGAGTGACATCATCTGTCCAGCATGTATTGCCACAAAGCAGCATGTGTATGTTTTTAAACACTTTAAATGGTCTTTGCTATATCATTATAGCATTACATTGGGGAAACAAGTCACAGAATTGGTTTAAATATACGTGACTGCATAGAAACCTAGTCTACACTGACATGAAACCAAAAGGAGCACGGAGATATTTTGCTAGAAATGCAGAGCTGATGGCACCAGACCCAAGACGGCACTTGGGCAGATTCTGAACAGCAGACGGTAAGACTGAAAATGGGAGACAAAGTGAGTGACTTACCCCCTTCCTTCTGCGCCTTGTCATAGCTCAAAAAAAATAAGCTGCATTTCCTACCACATTTCCACCAGCATTCTTAATCTTAATTAGAGGCAGAAATCCTAATTAGAAACACTCTTAACAGCACTTTAGCAATTTGAAGACTTATAATCCAAAATACAGTCAATTGTCTTGATATTTCTCTGCAGCATCATTTCAAACTACGTCCTTACCCCAATATATTTTTTTCATATACAATACATCTTTGGCTGCATCAAATAACAAAATTCTTAGAAGTCAAACATCTCAAAATCACAAATTCTGGTAACAACAAGGCAGGCTGTAAGAGATGGGTAAGTTAAACTAAAAATAAAGTCTCAAAGCTTTTGAGCAGCACAACAGTCTTACCACAAACTGGGATGAAAACGCTGTGCATGGACAAAAGAATAAACTGCAGATCGTGGAGCTCAAAAACATTCAGATAGACAACTAAATGGTATCTCCTTGCAATGCACCTTTTGATATCACTTAGCTACCTTTTAAAGAAATCATATCGACAGCTCTCAAGTAGAAGAACACCCAGAAAGTTTGAAGAATACTGTTAATCTGTATTAACATGTATGAGGTAACTATTTGGATCTGTTGGGAGAAAAAAGGAGAAAGGGAAAGGGAGAGGGACATCTAAGCACTTTGGTCAATAATTTTATCAGGGCTATGCGTTTTCTGACCAGGCAGGAAAGACCCTCTGCTTTCTTACTGTTGTCTCTGTTAATCCACCAACAGACACGGTGAGCCCCAAAAGCACGTGGTACTGGTACACCGGCAAGGCCAGGAGCTGGGTGATTCGAGGGAAAGCTTCTGAGGAGGCATTCCAGTTTAGCGTCTCTGACTCTGACCTGCAGGAAAGCAGAAGGGCAGAAACGTTGAGCGTGTGCTGGCTCACGCCTCCGCAGAGCCCTCCTCCGAAGTGAAGAAAGTCTCTGTCTTACCTACAAGTCCCATTAATCACTGCTCTTTAAGCTTTTGGGGAAAGTTCAAATAAGAACTTGAGCTTTGCTGGTCAAGTAAAGCAAAGTCTCTCGACCTGTTTCAGACCAATCATCTCTATGTGGAGACAAGAAGTTCTCCCTGCAACACTGCAGGCTCTGCTCCCCCACGCCCAGCAAGTCAGCAGCTCACAGAGAGCTTGTCCCAGGGCAGGCTGACACCCAGCCCCACAGCAGCCTAGCACACAGAGCACTTGTGAGGTACACAGACTAAGACTGAGCTGCAAGGAAAAACAAAAGGGGAAAGGACACCGTGTCTTCTCCATCCCAGTTGGGTGTTAGAGTCACCATTTGGAAAGGAGTTGCTCTCACTTGCCTCTCTCCCACTTTAACTAGAAATTCCATCTTTGGAAACTTATGGCAAGTAGGGTTTGATTTAAAGCAACTCATTCAATCAGTGTTTGGCTGAAGAAAAGACAAAACCAGAGAGGGAGACTCCCATTATATTCAAGCTCTCACATTACAGGAAGAAAATGAGATTATAAACCAGACCTTTCACAAACAGCACAATTACCAAAACCCAGCCGACCTGCCTCACCTACGGCCTCCCACAAACGTAGTGCTGCAGGATCTTGACCAAGTCAAGAGCTTCACAGAACTCGCAGGGACTCAGTATCTTTGAAACATCCATCCTCAGCAAGCAAAGCTGAAACTCGGCCAGTTCCAGCCAAGTGACTCTTGAAGTCACCTGACTCCAAGAAAGCCCTTTTGTTTTCTCTCTTAGGATACCTTCTTCAACTGCCTACCTTGGGAATATCCTCTCTAGTTCTTCTCGATGAGGTATGTGTGGAACTGGAGGATGGTCAAAATGTAGAAGGGTGAGGAACACGGATCCTGCATGAGCTCGAAATTTGTCTATTTTCTCAGCCGCTTGTTGAGCCAGCCAGCACATAATCTGCCTGCAACTATGAAAAACATAAACAAGTGAAATGCGTAATTCAATTTAAATTTTTCAAATGATAACATGGCAGAAATATCCTGCCATGAAATTATTGTAATGAGTAGTGCATCATAAGGCACCTGAAGTATCTTCAGGGCTCCCACTTCTAACAAAAGAAGTCCTGACATTAATATTGCACAGTATTTAATTTGTACATACCACCTTTAATCTGAAAAGATATAAAGGTTTTCAACAGATAGGGAAAACTGCTACGTATATACGGCACACATACCAGTGGTGAAGATCCATCCCAAGTGAGTCACTCTTTCACCTTTTGCTAGTTTGTAACCACCTCCCGTTTTCCTCATACTTTTATCTAAATTCTCAGCTGCAAAATACCTGCCCAACAGGCCCTTTAAACCTGCTGGCAGCACAGCCAACAGCAGCAGCAACTGGTAGCATTCCTCCAGTTACTGCAAGATCCAGACATTTAGCAAGCATGACCTTCTGTCTTTTGATCCAGGCAGGGATCCTGTTCTAAGTCCCACTTGCCTAGACTATCTCTGCAGGAGGTCACCAGGCAAGTAGTGTCTTCTACTGACGCCAATATTTTCCCTCCAAGTGTCTCATTCAAGAACTATCTTTCATTCACTCATCCATATCTAGCAGGAAGGTTGTTTAATAAGCAGTTTAAGGCAGTTTAAAAGGTAGCATTCGAATGCCCCACTCTCGTCTGGACGCACTTCGAATTAGTGAAACACCACTCTGCAGCAGGGAGCAGGTTTGCCTTCCATTTAAGCAAATTATCGGCAAGCACGGACCAAATCCCACGGAAGTACCGTGTTAAGAAAGGTAGGACTGACATCCACTTTTGCTCAGTTAATAGTGTTAGTCTAAGAAACATATAAAACCTTCTCAGCACCTAGGTGGAGGTGCATGGTGCATTTCTGTTAAAAGTTCTGCCATAGCCACTTATGGATTAACTACAGAGCGTGCAGGAAACGCCTTCTCGTACAGAGCAGCATGCAACAGTGAGAGATGAGGCACAAAACCAGTAACATACACGTTGGCATTAACTAACTCGGCTTCCTTCTGGACCAGCAAAAGTGTCACCTCCATTAAACTCGTCATAGCAGCTTCACGTACCCTGCCAAAACAGATACACAATGTTAGTCAGAGTGGGGACATTAAAATATATTTGAGCAAACACATCAGCACTGAAGCCCAACAGGCACTGCAACGAAGCCAAACAAGGCAGAACCCTGTAAAAACTAGCCCTGAAAGCACCGATGTGCTTAGTCTGCTCCAGACCACCTCCTGAGAACACTAACGTGCATTTTGACATCGATATTTAAGCACTGTAACTTTTCCAGCTTCATACTTCCAATGTTAAAAAATGTGTAACTCACAATAGGTTGGTAATAGTTTAGATCCCTGTGCTGAAGAATGCCCAAGTAACAGCTTCGTGAAAAAGATTTGGCCCCAGTAACAGGACATTGTGCTTGCAGTGAAATATGTAATTATAAGTCACAAAATACAGTCCATACACCTGGTTTAAACCAAAAGCCTTACCAAGGTATGAGCTGTCAGAAAATAGCTGTTTTTTAACACAGTGGTAATGCTACAACAGAGTCTCACTCAGTCACACAACTCCGTAAAAAATCTAAACCAGCACGTTCATCACATTAGCCACTTATATTGTTTTTTCTTGATAATAATTAAAAATCTTATTGAAATATTTTAAAGGGTACACCTGTCTACTGTGAAAAGACACACTGCTGTTTCTGTGCAATTTCCAAAATAAACTGAAATTTGTTGTCTATACCATCTAAAATGGGGTGGGACATTTATTAAAGTGGTAAAAAAGTCAAATTACATCATTTTTTCCTTAGTAGTTCAATACAACTTTGGCAGTCTTCCATAGTGGGTATTTTTCTGCTTCAACATTTAATACCTGCCTATTAGATATTTATGTCTAACACCTGCAGACAGACTGGACAAGCCCCAGCAAATAATCTGTCGTAAGAAACGTCAAGTTTGCAAACGGCCAGTGAAGCTGGTTAAGCTTTCCCACGATTCCATTAGAGAGAGACAAAAATGACATCAGTGGCCAGGTCTCCCCACACCTCCCATTGCAGTCAGCGGTTTGCAGACAGACAAGGAGAAAAGATCGGTATTTCAGAGGCCACTGAAGTATTTAGCAGCCAAGAGCTTGGCTATGAGGAAGGCTTTCCCATCTCCTTTTAACGTACGTGTTTTGCACCTCTGGTTTTGGCTGGCACTGTCATTGCAGCCTTGAAAGAATTCGGTGCTCAAAGCGCGTGTGGATTTTAATGGCTGTGGGGAATTGCACTTCTTAGGAAACTGCCACTTCCCTAGAGTTTCGTTTAGCTTTTAAATTAAGACATATGCAGAAGGATGAAAAATACGGGGAACACAAGTGAAAGCTGATATATGGGGAAGTTAATGTGAATAACTCATCTATACTTCACCATCTTCTTCCTTATCTGCTTCAGTATCTAATTTTGGCAGCAGAAAGCTTAGTACCTTTCTTCTCCCTGACTCACCACCCTACGTGATTGCTCTTGTGTTCCCTTTCGCTACCCTTGTGCCAGTGCCTTCTGCAAGCAAGGGACCGTCCTCTGCGCTGGCGCTCTGTCCAAGGTGGAAGAAGGAGGAGATTTAAAGCAACTCATTCAGCTTCTCCCTCCCTGTGCTCGCTGGAACGAGCTGCCTCCATCCGTGACCCCAAGCTGCGTGTTCCGCTTTCCTGCCAAGCTTTGAGGTGTCAGCTGCACCTCCTCTTCTCTGGTTTCCTGCCCCGGGTTACGTCCCTCCTTCCCCATGGCATCCTCTGCACTGCCATTTCCACGGGCACTGCCCTTGCTGCACAGCCCTGCCGTCCTATGGCAAATGTGACCATTACTGGGGCAGCATCAAACAAACAAAAAGAGGCAAAAAATGCAAGCAAAACATGGAAGCAAAAAATACAAGCATGCAGAACTCAACCTGGGCTGGGAAGAAGAGCTGAGATTATTCCTCTGAGCAGTTGCTAACACATTCCAAAATACTGCAGTGAAGCACCTAACGGAGCAAGTCCCTTCAAGTCAAGGGCCAGGAGCACAGAATCCTTAAACACAGAAACAATGAGAAACTCGAGCCTAAACGCGAGCTTCCCCAGCCCTGCACGCTGGGCACGGTGTGTGCGGGGTGGGTTTGCGTGGCGCCCAGCACGCTGCGCAGCGTGCAGCACCGTGCCCAGCGGCTGCAGCACCGGACTGGTTTGCTGCAGCAGGAGGAGCAGGCGGGCGCTGCGCCGCCCCGGCCACGGCACAGCGAGGGGGCAAGAGCAGAGCCGGCCTTCCCGCGGGGCACAGCGCGCTGCGGCCCTGCTTGAGCCTTCCCACCTCGGCTCTTCTCCGCAAGCTCTCCTGGCTTCGCTGCAGCTACAACAAATCCCTAACAGTATTTTTCAGGCCTTCCCTTTCCTGCCTGAATTGGAATAAAAGCATGACCAAATCCTGTTTCTGAATAGTCAGCAGGTGGTTTCATCTACAGTCCTGAGCGCGCATCTCTGTACTCTTAGGTGGTTCGTGTAGCCGCTGCCACTGAGGCCGTTTCTGCATGAGCTTTAACCTGCCCAACAGTGGAAACGCGGTGCCTCCGTTGGACCAGGAGCCCGAGCTCGCCCCTCAACCGCAGCCCCTCAACCGCAGCCCTCTTCGCTGCTCCTGTTTCTGCCCACACGAAGGTCACAGCCCACGGCTGCTCTCGGAGCATCGCTTTGCCCCGACGCCGTCCCGATCCCGTCATGCTCCGGTTTGGCGGACGTGCTGGGAGCGCCGCTGGAGCAAAGGCCTTCGTGGCTATGGAGAAGCCGGAAGGCCAAAGGCCTAAGTATTTAAGTCAATAGGTGCTAGATACTCTGAATTGGGCTAATTTAGTACTTCCTATTTACAGGCATTATTCCAGGTTGGGCATACTTGTGCCCGTAAATACACGCAGAAAAGGAACCCGACGGGAGAGCCTGTGCTCTTGCTTCGCGTGTCCCCGTCCACAAGATGTGCGCTTCACGCTGCTCCTCCCGCCCCATCGCTACCTGCGGGAATTCAGCTGCACGAAGAGAGCAATAGAAAACCCTCCTTGCCCCAAGGACTGCAGGAATTGCCAATGCACGCGTGCTGCCACATCCCCAGTTACAGCTTCTTTGGAAATCAAAGACAAACTCCAAGAGGACAAAGGCTTCTACAGCATCTTGGTGATCAGGATTGTGTTTCTGGTTCCGAAACCGAATCCTCTTTGTATTTTAAGGGAACTATGAAGACTGAAGCACATCACATAACTATGACTGCCACAGATCTGAAGCATTCTTATATCCATTACTCTAGATACAGCAATAATAGATGTATTCCTACAGATTTAACTTTCACTTATTATTGCAATATGATAACTGAAATCACTGAACCCCAAACTTTCAAGAGAGACAATAAAGTGACTGTGCAATTAAAATAAATAAATAAATAAATAAACAATCTGGCCATCTCAGTGAGAGCAGCAATCCCTAACAAATTAGACAACTGCTCCCTCTCCTGGCAAAACAAGATGAACATATGAGAGGTCAGTAAGTAGGCAGAAATGCAGTATTTCAAAGAAACTACAAGTAAAGGTTTAAATCACTCTACTTCTCAAGACTAGATTTATTCCCAGTATTCACCAGAAGAAATGGATGACATCTGGAAGTCAGAATAAGGCTGAACTTTAGTTTAAAACACAGCAGACCTTCTCCTAAGGACACATGCCCTTCTTCTAAGACAAGGAAGAGAGAAATTCTTTCTGCCTTTCCTTTTCCTATCCATTCCTATCTCTCGCCACCTATACTCAATTGTGCAAAAGCTGAGAGGCATGTGGTTATTTCTAATAGATAAAAGTGCTGAAGTCTCCGGCCCTCCTTACCATCCTCCGACGTCGCCGCGGCTGTCGGTCGTGTAGTCCGTGACACCACTGAGCAGCGTGGCATAGATGGCAGCAACGTTGTCCTTGCAGATGTGCTCTTCCTGGCATCCATCTCCCTTCACACCTACTGTCTGGCAAATCCTTCAAAAGGAGGAATGGAGAGTCAAAAGAGAGGAACTAAGAAGAAGCTAAGATCCTGGCTTTTTTGGTGGTTCAACAAACTTTACTGATGTGCAGTATTCTAAACAGCTATGCTACCTGCCACAAACAGCACGCAGCGCTTAGTCCAGAGACACTGGATTACAAGCCAGAGAGCACTGGATGCTGCCAGGATTTCTCATCCATGTTCCTCTGTAATGGAATACTGCCAAAGCTGGAAACTCAGATGTTACACATACACACACACACACACACACACACACACACACGTATATAAGCTCTCTGATACTACAAAATCAGAGCATGTTTATTGGACCCATCCGTTTCTGAACACTTATTAAAGTGAAGCAACCAGGAAGAGCAAGCAACTAACAAATATACTGAATTTCATATTAACCACCTTCTTAAATTTTAAGACAACATTAAAATGGGAAGGAATGACATTTCTGCATTGTAACAATTTGACACCGTATTTATACTCTTTATATTGTGGCAGGTAAATGCTGAAAATATTCCTTCGGAAAAAAACTTACACGTTTTTAAACCAGTTCAATCTCCTCATGAAATAAGGAAAATTAAAAAACAACAACAACAAAAGTATCTTCACTCTCCTTAATAAATATTTAATCCTTCACTGAGCTCACTAGAAGTCCATGAGAATGGAAAATTTTTCAAATATATTCTAGCTGTTCATTTAATGGATGAAAAAAAGTCCGAGTCACACTCCCATTCACAATGCCTGATACTGCTCAGAACCAAAGTGAGAGCACTAGAAAACTTGTAGAGAAAGAACTGGGAAGTACAGAAAATAATGATGACAGACATACTTTGCAACTGCTATTAGGGCATCTCTTCTGGCTTCTGCAAAGCTCACGTCTGTCTGGGAAACGACAGTAACCTTTTTCAAGCCTTCCAAAATCTGAAAAAGTAGAAAAAAAATGGTGTGAAAAAGATGATTTAACATTAATGGTGAGTTCCTGCTAAATCCAGATATAGCATAAAAATAGAAGAAACACATAGGAGGAGCAGGCAGTCAAGCAGCGGCCGTGTCCTCACCCTGACCTCCGCTTCTCTGGGACAAAACTTCCCTACCAAGTGGATCATTTGTTCCTGTTGCTCCTCAATCCCTTTTCCATAAACAGGACTAAAGTAGAACTCGCTTTTAACTACCCGAATCAATGAGGAGCTAAATCATGATGATTTTCTGGAGTTCCTGCACATCACAATCCCAAATTCACAACGGCCTTTAATTCTGTGCTTGATTCCCATCACCAGTTTCATTCAACGCCCCCGAGAGCCGCTCCTCCCCGCACTGGTGGCACCATCTCACCTGCTGGAGCCTGCCCTTCAGCAGAGCTCCTGGGAGGGCCCCAAGCGCCAGGGCAAAGCCACAGCGGATCATCTCCTCCGTGCTCTGCAGCTCTGCAATGTACTGGGTCACCAGCTCATCTACAAAGAACACAGTTGCACAGTGAACAGCTGCCACCACACTGTTGTTATTATATAATTCACTAAGCAAAAGGAAGAAAAAACTACCCAAACAGAAAAGCTACAGAAATCCATGATTCATTAAGTACAGAAAGCCTTAAATTTTGGCCACTGGGAAAAGAAGAAAAAAAATGTACAATGTTCCTGTTGATGAGTGAATTCTCGTTTTCTCAGTGCATGGTTGGATTTTTAGATAAACTACCCTATTCAGAGGGAGTAGATAAAAAATTGTCAGCCTTAAAAAAAAAAAAAGCTATTATTTTTTCAAGTCTAAGCATGAATTTCAGTGCAAACTCAGGCAAATGCTGGTGCATTCTCAGGTCATCAGCTTCTATAACGAGACAGGTTGGGAGAGAGTTGAGTCTGGATTTGGGAAGGTCTGTTATTCAATCTGCTTCCTCCCCCCTAACATCTTAATCGCACTGAGGATTTCCATACACAAACATACACACGCATCCCACGGATCATACCTAAGCAATGAGATCAGTTCGTGTTGCTTTTTATAGATGGACAAATACAAAGTGGTGCTTTTTAGAGAGGCCAGCTCAGAAAGTCACCACGTCGACGCAGGGACCTTCCGTCCAAATTCCCTCAATTGCTGTAGCATGAACCAGGGAGAGGGGCTCTATGGGCAGCAGCACAGGGGAAAGGAACAGGAATACACTGAGCAGTGCCAGGGAAAAAAATTAAAAGGAGGCTCAATGATAGGGTAAAGCAATACTAAGAACAAAATAAGGATAAATTAAGAAAAAAGTAAAAGTTGGGAATCCATTTATCTCTGTATTTCTACTGCTTTTTGTTCACGCTCCTGTAACAAACACTAAGAGGAAGGAAGCTCTGTACATGGAAACTGTTCCTTACTGCAGGCTTTATCAGAGACTTCATAGATGATCCTTCATTTACCTGATGGTTCAGACACGGCGCTAAACTCTTTAAGTGCAGCCGAAATTCAGATTAACTTCTAGGACCAACTGAGATAACAGCGACAAGCCCAACTCCAGATGAGAGAAAAAAAAAACTGCTATCTTCCTAATTAGCTTTACTGAATATGCACTTTTTAATCCTTAAAAGGAACAAAGGAGTGAGCGAGACTCCGCAGGTTACGTAACTGCGCCACTGCTTGCTGTCATCCAAGATTTACATGATTAAGCAATATTTGCTAGAGGAAGAAAGATTACTTTCCATAAGAAACTCCACTTTAATCATAACTCATTACTTTTTTTTTCCTTAATCCCTATGCAATCAACAGGCCCCAGCTCGTTCCTGCGGCACCAGGGCACTAGCTCCTTGTCCAGAGGTTGGCAGTCCCTTCGGACGGGCACATCTGCTGGCAGGAACTTCCCAACCTCTGGAGCGTGCGCGGAGTCTCGCGGCCCTGGGGAGCTGCACGGCCACTGCTGCAGCGCTTCCACAACTCATGTCCAGCTCAGAGTGACACTGCAGCAAAAGGACCCAAAATGAAGATGTGGCAGAGAGCAAATGGGCAGCTTGAATGCTAATTGCTTACTAATTATGCTACCTGGGGTAATGCAAATGTGCCTGTTCGGCTGAGCTTCACAAAGCAATGCAGGCTGCGATGCGTCTACAGCAGTAACTCAACACACAGGGAATGAGTATTACAAGAAAGTACACAAAACCAAAGTGGAAAATAGGAAAACAGAGGCAAATAGTGATTTGGCAGAATACAGCCATATTCAGAATCCTGAATCACTAAATTATTTTTGCTTTGTATTTCACTCTGATCTACAAAACCTTTTTCTTTTTTTTAACATTTGTTTAGCTTGCATTAGATTGTGATTGTGGTTGTTTTCAGTAGGTCAGTTAAAGCAATTGAGGGGATTAAGGCACCTGTCCCTGCCCTGGATCTCTTGTGCAAAGCAACCTCCGCACACGCACACACACACATCACACAGCGTGGGCAAGTTTTTCAGTGGTGGATTTCAAACCCACAATATGGAAATTTTAATTTTCATAAAACACGCAGTTTTTACTGGCAGAGAGACCAAAATAACCCATTTTTTTGCATTTAGGACGGAAGGCGTTTGCATCTATGACAGAATTTTTATTTACATATTTGGAAGGGGTTTTAGAGAACTTACAAGCCAAATAAAGCTCACTAGAGACTGTCAGGAGAGAAAGTTATCCAGGTTGTGATGACGTTTTCCAAACGATACCAACAAGTCCGATGAAAAACGTCGCCTTTATCTACAAATCTGCTCCTCCTCATGGCTCTGTGGTTGTGTGGCTTCAAGCCTTCAGCCGCAGGCAGGTGCAAAGCCAGCCCGGGAGCCGGGATGAGGGACGGGACGAGCCGTGCAGGCTCCCGAAGGAAGCCGGCGTCAACCCCACGGGAGCCCCCACGTCCCCCTGCCCTCGCGCTCGACACGGCCGAGCCCACTGCTCCGCTCCGCGTTCTCAGAGCCGACGCTTCGGCACCGTGCCCATGAACCTCCCCGCTCCCTAATACTGCCCTCCTTTCCTGGACTTTTACCACTGTTTTCACTACATGTTACCCCTCCTTTTTAATTTGCCTTGGTGTCATTTCACCCCTTTCCACGCTGCCCATGAGAAAACTAGGCATGTGGTAATAACTTGTATGAAAAGACTGTCTTTTTGCCTTCTTTTTTTTTTAAAAAAACCCCATAAACTGGAGTCATTAACAATATGCAAACAATTTAAAAATTAAGACAGGCTGCTTCTATATATCAATAATTTCCTCGGGGCAAAGACTGCATATTACTGTGCGTGTTCTAGATATCGAGCTCATTCTGGGAATAATTAAGGAAGTATTCCATTACATGCATGACTTAGGAATGGCAAAATAAAGGAAAATACATCCTTATTTTGTAAAGTTCATGTAATATCACTGTCTTACTTAAATATGAGAACATAAATGTTCTTATCTTTAAGTATCTCACTTATGAAACCTTGAGATCTCAGATGAACACTGTACAATTTGATAACTGAAAGGAAGGTACAAAAAATCCTGTACAACCCATGTTAATTCACCCGCCCCTAACATGAGTTTAACTCTACTCCTGTAACAGGAATCTAAACCCAACATGGAGCTTTCATCGTGGAGCGTTCATCATCGTGGAGCGCCTCCCTCCCCTGAGACATTTCCTAGACTTTCAGTTGGTTTTCTCCTTTTTTTAATTATTATTTTTCTGTAGCATTTTTAAGTGCATTAGGGCTGCAGGGATGTCTGTGTTCCTCCCAGTCCCCATCCCACCCCCCAGAGCTTTGCAGGTTGGGTCCAGTCCATGACTCAAACATGAATCATTACCTTGTAGAGCTGGATCAGCTTCTCCCTGCTCACTGATGTAATATTCATTACACAGCGCAGTCAGTGCAGAGACTGCAGAGTCCTGAAAGACAGGGAGACTTGGCAGCGTGGTCTATGTGCTAAGATCACACTTCATGGCAACTCTTATTCTTTAAAACAGTACAAATAAGCTAAATCGATATTTTAAAATTAATAACCTATCAGCTGCATTCTCCGTTCAGTTTAAGGATGACATAGTATTATAAAACACAAAGGTCGTTATCTCACCTTTAATAGATTGATGCCAGTTATATGATAAAAACAAACTGTATTTCTCCAGCAAGTTAGGCAAAGAAAACAGTAGGAATGCACAGACTGAAGGTTATGAACAAAATGCCAAAATATCCATCATCACAGCACCATCATCGCAGCACGAGTCTCTCAAGCCCAGTCACTTCAGAAAGGGCTAATACATAATAGTATGATGTGTAATATTCCTGAACCTCCTTATCTATGGATTGGTTTCTGTCACCAATCTACATGATAAAGTTAATACAATTGTTTCAGGAGGCATATAACAAGCTTAGTGATAAAACCCATGGTTGAACTGTACTTTTCAGTGACACTGTAATGCTGACCAAACCTGCAGGCTCGAGAGCACGCGAGAAGGAACCTGCCCGTGTTTCCTCCACACCGCGAACGAGGACACCCGTTAATGCCCGGGCTCTTGGGGTACACGAAATCTTAGCTGATGCCACCGAGTCTGGCACAGGCTCTGCCTTCTGCTCTCAAAGACTTGTTCTCTATGCAAAAGCAGGGACTTGAAAGAAACCCAGTGTTCATTTAAATAGCACAACCACCATAGGCATTAGAGCAGCAAAACATTCCAAACTATCTAACTGCACGAGGTTCTTTACTAAGGAAAACAGCTTTCACCTTAAATGCATGAGCTACACTATATGAAAAGAGTTTACATTACGTGAGAAAAGAAGTGATTTTTCAGTGCCTCAAGGGCTGGCTTTAAAATTATCTATCTCTAAAACAGATACAAATCAAACAAGAATTGACCCTTATTAAGCATATCTTGCTTAATGATAATTAGCGTTAACCAAACAGACCAAAGTTCTCTGAAGTCTATAATTAATTTTCTTAAGCTAGGTGTAGATGCTCCAGCTCTAAGACACACAAACCCTTTGGAAAATTTCTAACAGGCATGGATAATTCCAAGAATTCTGTTCTCCACTTTTAAGTGTTCCTCAGTAATTTGGTACCTTCTCATCTTCCCCGTCTCCAGAGGAAAGTTCTAAAAGACGAGCTCCCAGAAACTTACAGTGGCTTTTTATCTCATGCTAAGGAATGAAATATAACATATTTAATTCAAATCATCCCTGCAATGGCTATAAGCTCTAACAGGGAAGACAAAAAGTATCTTTCTAATGTGGGACAGCCTTGAAGAGCACAGAATCACACCTGCGTGGTGTTACTCAGGAGAAAAATAACACAAATAACCGGAGGCGTTGTGACCATGAGCATAAATAAGGGAAGCATCCAGAAATGGGCTGAATATTCCAAACGAGAGTAGCCCGGGATCCCAGGAGAGGTCTGGGGAAGCCTTTGCCACGGAGCTGGCTGGGAGGCTCCTGCTCAGCTCCCCGTGCACCAGGGAGGCCCCAGGACAGCGGCCACGCGCTTCTCTCCTTCTCAAAACAATTCTCAGAGCCCTTCAAGGCACCAAACCAGCACACCTTGAGGAGATTACACATGGACACACAACATTACACCAGGCTTGCCTAGTATTAAAAGGGGAGACTAAACCAGGCACAATCTGCGGTGCATTTTATGTGAAAGGCAGGTGGAGTTTAAAATCTTCCGTGTGCCATAAACTGAATTACGCAGCTGAGCAATTATAGAAATTATTGGAATTGCAGTAGTATGTCAGGTAAGCCAGAATTACAGACCAAAGCAGAAGAAAAATATCCTATCAAAGGAGCCATATGGCAGAGGGCAAGGGGCTTTCAGCTTTAAACAGCCATCAGCTTTTACCACTGGCAGTCCCTTGCCAAAGCAGGGATCTTCAGTTACCGTGCCCAAATAGATGTGCGTGAGTATCACCTCGATGGTGTCAAATGTTTAAGTCTTAAACAAAAAGGTCCCTTCGAATTTTGGAGATTTCAAGGTTAAGAAAGAGGAAAAATAAGCAAACAAAAAAAAATCTCCTTCCCACTCTAAGAAACAAACATGGAAGAATTAACGAGACTCCACAGAAAAAAAAAAGCCTATTAACAGAATCCAAAATATATTTCTAATCTATATTTTGTGTATGTAGTAAGAGTGCATTTAGCAGGAAGAACTGCTGTACCTTTATATGCTGTCGCACAGTGCTGGAAATGTGAGGGAGGCTTCTCAGGCTGTCGTTGATGAGGCACTGCCAGTCCCCTGGAAGAACAAGGAATACAGCTGGAAGCCATGGAGCACAGCCTTCCTCCCCAGGCCTCCGCATCCTCTCTTTCCCGCTACCCCTATGTCCACATGTCCCCTTTTCCCCCCACTAAACAAAGTCATGGATCTCACAGCTTAGCTAATGGGCTTCTATTTACACAGCACCCAGCCCAAAACACCCTGTCTGGCAATGCTGAAAACTTCACAGGAAAAGAAAAACCACCAACAACCCCCAGCAATCTAATAAATTACCACAAAACAAGTCTTCAAATAACATTAGCATCTGCTTCACTGAGCATCTTTTTGACAACTTTGTTATTCTCTTTGTTTCTTTGAAAAACATAATTCACTAATACTTAATTTTAACGAGTAACTATTAAGGTAATAGAAGGTTATTCAAAATATCACATACCAATTATTGGATCCCCTCTAAATGGCATTTTTGATAGCGACAGCTTTTCAATTAAACTGCAGACTGTAAGAAAATACATTTGATAACTGGACAAATTGCAAACGTGACAAGTGGCAGCAACGTGGCAGACAGGCACATCACACTCTTCCAGCATTCGTTTTAAACTGAAGAACACCTAGCAAATAAAAGTTCAAAATGCTAACAAATTAAATCACAGTTCCACTTGTAATTCTTACATCCAAGGAGGCTTCCAGGCTGTCACTGTCCTGTCCCTAGTGTCACGCTCACGCAATGTTTTGCTCGCTGTTTGTTATTCTACCCCTCGGAAAGGTGCACACGGCCACGCGGGTTCCTGTGCTGCTCTGGAAGAGGCAGCGTCTCACAGTCGATGATACAACCACCAACGTTGATGCTACAGCTGGTGAAACAACTACTGCCATTTTTTGGAAGGTTTTCCTGCTTCTTACCCACAGGTTTTGGACCTTCCAGGAGTGATTTCCATTCACTGCACATAGCTAAGAGCCACCTAACGGGATGCAGCTTTATTTCATTTGATATTCAGAACATGTGGATAAAATCAATTATTAAGTCTCCATTATTTTATACTTATGTATTTATACATGAGCTCTAAGCTTCTGAAAAGCCCCTTCCGAACTTTCTTTGAGTGTTTCCAGGCTGCTTGCAGGAAGAGGTATCAGCACAAACCAGCCAGCTCTCCCCACAGCAGGCGGGGCGCAGCGGTGGGGCCCAAGGGACGTTCCCTTTCCCGTCCCACGGGTCAGGTCAAGCACAACCCCGAGCACCCGCAGCCGCGCTCGCTCCGACAGCCGGCTTGGCGCAGGGCTGCCGTGCACGGCACGAGCTCCTCCACAGAGCCACCTCTCTGCCTGCCTCCAAGCCTCATCTCTCCATCTTTCGCCGGGCTCTGTACACAGTTCCCTTTCTCCTGCCTTTCCAGCCGGCCTCCAAACCGCTCTGCAGGAGCGTGGAGGTCAGTGCTTGCTAGGGTGCTGTCCCACAAGCAGCTCCCCCTGCTCCAGCTCTAAGACCGCACGCCAGCCACTCTGTTCTAGGACTTCTTTGCCGACAGTGAAGCACAATGTGAGCAAAACCCAGTTTCTTAGGTTTCCCCCTTGGTTCCTTCTGCTGCTTTGGCGCTCTGTTGTGGCTGAGCACGTCCCCTTCATTAGACACGCATGCCGTCTGCGGAACACACTCGCTTAAGAAAACACTTCTTGACAGTGAGGGTGACAGAGCCCTGGAACAGGCTGCCCAGAGAGGCTGTGGAGTCTCCTTCTTTGGAGATCTTTAAAACCCACTTGGATGCCACCCTGTGCCACGTGCTCTAGGTGACCCAGCGTGAGCGGGGGGGATTGGACTAGATGACCTCAGAGGTCCCTTCCAACCTCAAACATTCTGTGAGTCTATGATTCTCCTCTCACTCCACCTGCATACCTGGGTCTCTACTATGGAACAGCCAGCTGCTGAAGAGCTAAACCCTCCCGCAGCAACGCGCCGTTGCAACTGCCTGTAGTTCCCGTGTCCGTGACGCCCTTCAGAGAGCCAGGTCCCGGCGGCTGCCGCGCGCCCGCCATCCCTTGGCACCGGGGCACGGCACGTCCTCCCCACGAGGGCTGCAAAGGCAGCACCGGCCTCTCCCGCGGCCACACTCAGCCCTTCGCTGCCACCTTCCCCTCGCCCAGCCTGCCCACACCCTTCTCCTGGGGACACCCTTCCTTCTTACAGTGCTTCCATATACAGTGACCGCCTGAAACCCGGCGAACAACCCACCCTTGGTCACGCATCGCCCTCCACACACTACCACTGCTGTTCAGATGACCTTCTAAACAATGAACATCCACGTTCTTTGGCTTTGGACACACCGGTATGAGGATAAAATCACCCTTTACATGGTCACGTCTGTCTTGGTGGACAAGCTGCATCTCTTCTAGCGAAGAACCAGAGCAAAGCAACAAGGAAGGCCAATTCACCCCTAAGGAAAGCTCACTCTGGGCACCACCGAGGGGAAGAACGTGTGACGTAAAAAAACACCCAAGAACTGCAGCTTTAATTACTATACATATGCCCTGTTTATGCATTCACACCGTGCATTCAAAATAAACTGCAAGAAATGAAGAGCAAGTCCCGAGGGCAGGCGGGCCTGGAGCCGCCGCCGCGCTGCCGTACTCACCCGCCGGCCTCATGAGCTCTCCTCCCAGGCCCCTGCAAGGCAAAGCAGAGCGTGAGCCGCCCCGGGGCTCCAACCCCAGAGCCAGAGCGTCCCCAAGGAGAGCGCACCACGAGAGCAGGCAGCGTCCTCAGTCTGGGATCTGACCAACACACAAACACTTCTAACCTCTATGTGATGTGTACGAGGCATGTCTGATTGTTTAACTCTCCTCTTCCAAAGAATGCAGACCCAATTTTCTAAGATTTATGTGAAAAATAAAAGACCTTTCTTGCTGGCCCATCTGTCCTGCTTTACAAGCCCCCAGACGTGTGGGATGTCCACAGGCCGTTTCAGCCCTGCAGCCTCTACAAGCTCTTGACCTGCACCCCTGAGCAGCAGTTACATGCCATGTTTTAACAAAACCCTCATGGTTGGGGATGTAAGTTAGGTGCAGACTTTGCTTTCCAGGTCTCATTTTCACAATGGACAATGGTTTACTTTTCTGGTGACATTTTTCAACCTCCTCCTTTTACCTTCTCCCCTTATTAGAGCCACCCACGGGTTATTGGATTATTTGGCACTCATCAGCACAAGGAAGGGGGCGAAAGAGCCAACACCTCAACAAGGAGACAGAAAAAAGCAGGCCTGGATGGTCAAGACCTTCCTGAAACAAACGTGTGTTACACAGGGATGAGCTCAGCGGCCCCAGTCCACAAGCCTCGCTGGCCACCGAGCTGAGCAGGAAGCAGGATCCTGAAAATGACAGGGATCCGGGAATTACAGCCCTGATCCGCGTGTCTGCAGGCAGACGGGTGTCTCCTTGCACCTCAGAGCAAAGGCCACGGGCGCCGTCAATATCCTCGGGGTGCAGCCAGGTGCTGCTTGGGGGATTCTCCCCGTGTCACCCTCCATGGCCTTATTTTCCCATTTTTGAACCTTTGACCCTGCCCTTCCTTTGGATATTTCCTTAGCTGCTCACTCCTGTCTCCATCCATTCCTGCGCTCGCTTCCTGCCCGGGCTGGGCCAAATCCTGCTTCACCCGTTTGTGTGGCCAGGCTCCGGCAGCGACACCCAAAAAGGGGCAGGAACAACAAAGGCTTTTTTATTTATTTGGTTCCCCAACTTATTCTTTCATATGAACTTCAAAGGCCTAAACATTTGAAACCAGTTCTTCCATTTCACACAAGTAAGTGCCTCCGCTTGCACACGTGGGGTTTGGGGCTGCTCAGGGTTATCAGTTGTTATTATCAAGGTTATTTTTCTGTTAATACAGAGATGCCAACTCCACAGTGTTCTCATTAGCCATGGATCAGCAGCTCCTCTGACTGGAAAACCTCAGCTTTTGACAAAGTTATTGTCAAAATATTCTCCTCTTTTACACTTATTGCCCTTACACGGAGCTCTATGCAGTGATCACAGGCTCGGTTTTATCGCTATAAGAAGAAGTGCAGCTCGCACATCCCTGTGCTGATAAGTGCTGGTAGGATCTGCTCCACCTTCCTGCCAGCTTGTCTGCTCTCCAGCTTCGAAAATCATTTAAATGGAAAACAAAGACGTGATGCAAGGAGTCGAGACGGTGGCAAAAATAGATGACTGATGTGGCAAGGCTCACTTCCTCTTCAGCGCTTCTTGCCCTTCATTTTGTCCTCACCCATTTCTGGCTTTTTGTCTACTGCCTTGTTGTAAATGAGTGCGAAATAACAATCTTGTGAATTTGTTTGGTGTGCAGCAGACTGCTGATGCAAGGATTCAGATAGGGACCTCTGCTCAGACTACAAAGCGAGCACTGACTCACAAAGGCTTCTCTGCTCCTCTTCTTCACACTGCCAAGAAGGAAGTCAGGCCACTTAAAGCTACTCTGATGTTAATAATTTGACAGCTCTCCCTTCCTTTGGCATTGCATCAACTCAAGCTAATGTCAGAGTTCAGGGCGCCTCTCCAGACTGCTGTCCCGGTGCAAGAATGAAGACTGGGGACAGTAATTTGCATAGTAAGATTTCCCCACCATGCAGAGAGCATAATTAAGCCTGTGTTGGAAGGCACTGCGATACTCTGCATTCCCGCTCCACGCAGCTTCTTGAGTTATCTCTTGCCTAGACATCAGAGCCGTGTGTCGATGCACCTTGTTTCCCTTTCCGCAGCACATACCTATGGCAGAGGCGGGCACTGAGAGCTGGATCATGGTGCTGCATCTCTCCTCAGTTTCTCTAACACAACGCGCCTCTTTCTATCAACTTCATCTCACTCTGCTGTGTTTCTCTAAATTAAAACAGATAGGGATCTCTCTAACGCAGAGATTCTGCATTTTGCTGGGTGGCTGGAATCCTCTCTTCCTCCTTCCAAAGTCCCATCCAAAAAGCACACGGCGCTCCGAGGTGCCTGTTGCAGGCCGGACGGTTCATGGGTGCGTGGATGGGCGCGTGGGCCCCAGGAGCCCCGTGTGCTCTGCCGCGGCAGCGCTGCTCGGAGCTCCCCGCAGCTGCTCTGGACGGAAAACACTGCTTGGACACAGAAGCCGCTGCAGAAGAGATCAGTTACACATTGCCAAACTGCACAGGCCCAAACTGGAACCAACTACGATGCTGGTTTCAGTCTATGTAAGAGCTGAGGGCACTTTCATCCTTTTTTAAGTTCAAGCCTGACACTGGGAAGATGTTCAGGGTTCATCTTAAACATTATACCATTACTTTCATTGAAGCAGTCAGAACTGACAGCATTCATGTTTTCACAAACACCTGAAGAGCAAAGATAAAATTACTGGAATATCCACCAAGATCCAACAGCAACTATTCACGTCCAAGACAGCCAGGAACACTGGCTAAAGCAGCACATTCGTCTCAAAGAAGTTGATGCGTCTCAGCAGTCTAGTAACCAAGCAGCTTCCATGGGAATTCTGTCCCATGAATTGGGACATCCTAAAGGTCCCGTTTCTGCCCTCGGAGCGCGAGGTACACAGCGGCCTAGGAGGTGGCCAGGGAGATGGCAGAGCACAGATAAACCAGAGGGTGCGTTTAATGAAGCTCTTAGGGTCGCCCCTCCAAGGTGTAGGGAGCAAGCAGAGCTAAGCTGATAAAGAACAACAGAGGGCTGGTAATTCTGCATCTGTTGGTAGGTAGAACTACTCGGTCCATACGCTGGCCTCGCACAGCTTTTATGGCATTTAGCCAACAGAAGATGGCAAGTAAATTGTGGGTCCTGAAGACCTAGGAGCTCCCCCAGTGACTCCAACAGCAAGAGATTTGGATTTTAAAGCTCATCCAGGTACATGAAAAATATGACAGAGAATTATTTTGCAAAAAAAAAGTTGGGAAGTGGCTTGTCCACAAAACTGAAATAAATGGAAAAATGCAATTTGGGGGGAGAATTATTTTGCAAAAAAAAAGTTGGGAAGTGGCTTGTCCACAAAACTGAAATAAATGGAAAAATGCAATAAATGGAAAAAATTGCAATCTCTTTATTAGCGTCTTCTTTCTCCAACCCAAAAGATGTCACTACTCTGACAAAACCTTAACGTCAGTTAAAAAGGGAAAAAAATAACCAATGCACAGAAGTGACAGCTCTATGTTGTTTAGCAAACTCCTCAGAACACAGCACAGGTCACCAGTGTCACTGCATGCAAAGAGTAACTGACATATGGAGTGACTGTGAACACGGACTTGCTGCAAAGCTGGGAATATTCTGTGATGATGTTTAGATGATTAAAAACGAAAACCTTTTGCCTAGGTAACTGCCAAGAAACACACTGGCCCTGAAAGCGTCCAGATTTGTTGCAAGCTTAAAGGTCTTTGAAAGGCGGCAGTCTCATCCCGCCCCGGTAGCGAGCAGCCGCCCGCAGAGAGCCCAGCACGTCTGTGACGTGCTGCTCACCTACCCACCTGCACTGGTTCCGCGTGCCACGAGATTCAGCATCACAAGGAAGAAGAAACAAAGCTGGGACTATCTGTTTAGCTGAATAGTTTCCTAAGAACTTTCTTTTGGATACTGTGTTTTAAAAAACTTCACGAGAATTACTGTGGACAAGAGGCACAAAAAAGGTCCCAGCTGCAGTGGAAGTGCAGCACAAAGGAGGGCCCTTCCAAGCAGCAGGCTGACTGCTTCTGCCGAGACAGCCAGCTAGGGGCAACACGTGCTGTTTGAATTTAGTCTTAAGGTTTTACATAAAAAGTAATGTTAAAGCACATAGAAAGCTCAGTTTTTGTAATTCTGTACAATATGCACAGTGGGCAAATGAGTCGCAGGAGGGGCACAGCTTCATGGACTTACTGTAATTAGTGATCATTTAACACTGAAAACTGGGGCCTGCATTACAAATTCAGCTGCAAGTGCACATGCAAATGGCTCCACAAACCAGCTCCTCAAGACAAACCAGTTGTCAGATGTGCCCGAATCCGAACTCCTGGAAGGCAGCAGCGCCGGGATGCGCCCGGACTTGCCACCTCCTTTCCCAGCACAGCCGGGCACAGGCGGCAAAGCCGCTGGCCGGGAGCAGCGGCGCCCAGCCCTGCTGGAACTGCCCACGGGGCAGAGGGCAGCGCCCTGGGCCACCAGCACCAACAAGGCTGCTGCAAACTGGACTGTGTGGAAACCCCAAACTGGGGGGCTGCAGGTCAGCGCTCACCGCCCGAAGGACAAAGACTCCGTCACTCAAAGACACATCTACAGGAGCTGGGCACAAGGCAAGAGAGTTAAACCAGGGTCCCCATGAGAGCTCTTCTCTGTTGATTTTATGTACTTAAATATTTAAAGAAATTTTAGGGGTTTCGTAACAAAGGAGGTCATAGCCCATTTTTACAGGTTAAAAATTATAACTTAAAAAACAGAATTTTTGTACTTCACTTCCAATTCCCGTTCAAGAGAGCAAGCCATTTATGCAAAGAGTTAGTTCAAAACATTGAAATCCATTTGGTGCAGCAAAAGAGAGCTATGCTATTGCCAGCAGTAAACGCCAAATACCTAATAAACCTTTGAGATACGTGGCCAGAAGCCTTTTTATTTCACCGGTTTAGAAAGACAAATAGAACAGGCAGGTTTTCAACACTCCTATAAGCTGTTGTTACACTGAAAATTCCCGGTAGCAATTTCTCAAATGGAAATCTTTGGAATATTACGTGCAATAATTACTCATCGTGAAACAAGTTTGGCTTGTTTCACTAAGTGCTTGCCCAGCAACACTCAAATTGCAAGCTTGTTTTTATAACCTAGTTTATTTTTCTTGTCTGATTTTAAAATATCTTATGCATACCAATATTTTAAAATATGGATTACGGTAGACATCTCTGTCTCAGCCCGAGTATTAAACACCAGTGAATCAGTTTTGCTTGGAGTTGAATTGGAAGTCTTATCTAGGATGAAAACATTTCTGTAGGCATCTTATAAATACCCTTAAGTGCAAGAAGTGCACATTATGACAAAAACAAATTACACCCAAGCTCCACCCTGACATTAAAGAATTTATGGGAGCCAAGACAGCCACCCACAAAGACACTAATATCCAGTATCAGCATTACAACCATACGCCAGGAGAAGCCAACTTCCAAAGCGAAGTTCCACATCAGCAGGTCACCACCCTTGAAACCATTTTTTTTTTTTAGAAGGTTTCAGGATATAAAAAACTTCACATTAAAAATAAGTTTCATTAAAAATTACAACAAAAAAGAAAAAATCAAAGGTTGCACTGATATTTAATGTCTTCTTCTTAAAGTCTTCTGATATTTAACGTGCAAAGAAGTCAGCTAGAGAATGGCTTAGAAGAAGTCCTAAGAGTCTGTTAATCAGAGGAAAAAATAGTCGTACACATGCATAGTTGTTTAGGAATATGGGTCATTAATTACGCTTTGATTTCCTTAAATCTAGGAACAAACCCTGAAGTCACATACCACTTTTAATTCCCATTAACCTAACAGTTACTTAAGGCGAGCTCCCTTTACTTCCTGGAAGCTTCAATAAATAGGAAATGAATAACGACCCGGGAAAGCTCACTTGCATTTTCCTCAGCTGAAGGATTGGAAACCTGCACTGAGCTACTCGCAATACTTCTGGCCTAATCCCTGCAAAGGATGAAGAAAGTAATTATATAAGTTAGCTAGAAGCTCTCTTTTTCCTCTTTTTTTTTTTTTTTTTTTTTTTTTTTTTAATTTTTTGGACACCTTAATTTATTAGTTACAAATAAGTTCTACAGATCGATCTGAACTGTATGATGACTACAAGCAACTAAAGGGAAAGAAATGCCCTTTTGAGCAACTACACGTTACTCACGTTGTGCATTAGTGCACATGCTGTATTCCACATTCTTTCCTTCCTTTAGGAGTCTCTACCACAATACAGGGACCACTGCTTGCCAGCTACTCACTGATCTAACCTTCCATGGATGGTCCCACTCTGCAGACACCACAGCCACTAAAAGGCAGCGTTAGTTTCTGTACCAGCTGGGCAAGACTAAAGGAACTCCGTGTGCTGAAATATGCCTATTTCTATGCAATACTTTATATAGGGAAAGGCTTTTGGAGTTCATTTCCTTACCGGTACAACTGACGTCTGGAAAGCTGTAAAAACAAAAGAAACAAACAAGCACCAATTAAACTTAGCCAAGTTTTGCTGAGAAGACTTTGTTGCTTCCCTCCTCCCACACAATGGCTATACTGTGTGCTATTCAACAAAGAGAATTATTTTTAAAATAGTATGATTTCTCAAAGGAGAAAACTTTTTTAAAAGTATGCTATCCTGTGAATCATTTACTTGAATATAAAGATGCTATATATCCATTTGAATTTTATACTCGAAGCATACATTCATACAACACAGTACAATACATTCATAAACCAGGTAGTACAGAAAATGAGCAAGAGTCTCAACGCAGATGTAACACGTATGTGATACAGTGAAGAAATAGGAGCTGATAAATAAATAAAACATAGGCTGATTCGATTAGGGAGAGAAGGCAAAATTATCTCTGTAAAGGCATTTTCACATCACTAAGAGCAAGACAAGACTCCATTTGTCCTGCCTGGAGGTGAAGAAAATACACCCACCCAAAGAGGAATATGAAATTAAGGCTTTATAAACAGGTAAATTAGGATGCAAGGATTTAGCAACAAGATTATGCCAAAAAAAGAAAGTAAAGAGAATGATGAATAGAATTCTGTGGGAGCTCTAACTTAAGCTTGCTCATTTATCCAAAGGGCCAAAACAAGCTTATGCAGTGCAGAACAGGAAAAAAAAGGAGAAAAAAAAGAAGAAAAGGGCACAGAAAGCACAAAAAGCACAGAGTGTTTCAGAGGTGTGAGAGGCCATGTGGGAGGACGTCGACGTCTGCGACGTTGGCGGCTGGGCCGGGAGCAGGGGGCAACATCCACCACCCCAATCCCAATCCCAAGGGCCTCTTTCCAAACGCTGCAGCAGCCAGGGCGTGTGCTCGATACCAACCTCTGAATGGATCTGCTTCAGCCCCTCCAGTGCTTGGTCGCTCAGGTAGTGTGTAACAGGTCTATAAAGGCAAGCAAAATGAATAAGCCCGGTTTCCTAAGCATTTTCTACAATTCCTACCAGTAGTTTTTCCTCCATGACTCTACTGTACTTTCAAACAGGAAAACAGCTATTTCACTCCAGATTATTCTCAACACAGATATGCAATATTCAATTTTTAAAAGTTCAGAATACATAACACCAACACATTTGCTCCACAGCATCTAGGGAAAAAAACAACTCACATTCTTTTGATAGATACTGCTGGCAAATACATCTCGTATCCATGATCAATGAAGATATTAAAAAAAAAATCAGCACACACTTTTCACATCTATTATTTGAATTCACTTCCACATACTTAACTTGTACAAGAAATGACAAGTCTAAATTAAATGTGACCATTTCAGATTTTCTTGTGCAACCACATTAAAATGGTTTCTAAAGTAGCACAAAAAAGGTTACTCAGGGAGCAACCTTTCAAGTTTTAGAAGAAAAATGACCAGTTAAGCTGGATTTTTAAAACAGATTTGTTTAGTGTGTGTATATATACATATATATGTGTCTTTATGTGTACATATCTACGTATGTAAATATATATATGTGAATCCAGCCGAACTCTGTTTGTTTACTGTCAGTGGAGGTTGCAATCTAGGATCTTGTTTTGCGCTACCTTGCCCCTCCACAGCTCTTCACCCCTCCACATGTCAAGCCAGCCTGAAATTCTACTGCTACCCTGACGTCTAAATTCTAATGTAGTGCTAAGGATTTTCCAGCATTGTTCACAGACGTCAGGATCACTCACAAGGAGCAAGAGATAAACAAAGAGGTTAACTTATTTCTTTAACTGGAACATAAGCAGAGATGTCTCTCAATAGTTTTGTCACTCAGAATACACTACCAAAGCAAAATAACTATATACATACAAAAATATATCTATATATACAAAAATACACCCATATATACATATACATATGTATTTATATCCACAAATACTGTGCCTATGGATCTCTGGACCAGCACTCAGCAGTAAAACATGTATGAGCCCAGCCTGAGGGGCTCCAGGGGGAACTGCTGCAGAAACCCTGTCCCTGCAGGAGAAGGCCGATCTCTGGGGCGCGGAACAACCGCCCTCCCTCTGCTGACTACTCCAGTTCAGACCTCGAGCCTGCAACTTTACCAAGTAAGATTGGAAGCACTGACATTATTGATGAAAACCTAACAAAAATACAAAGGGAAAGAATTTCTCCAGGAAACTGGAGATTTCTCCAGTTAGAGTGTAGAAGCTTTCAACAGATGACACACAGAAGGAAAATGTATACGGAGATAATGCATGGTACCTGTTACTCTCTTCTGCCAGTTTGCACAGCGCCTGGGTGATCTCGGCACAGGCAAGAATTGCCCCATGGCGTGTGTGCAGATCCGTGCCCACTGATAAGGGGAGCAGCCTTGGCAAAACTGGAAAAGATCAGTTGGTTGTTTTAAACAAAGCTCATTGACAAGTGACAGCTCTACCCATAAACATGCCTGTCTGGAAACAACAAGGCAAAACCATCTCTAGAAAGCCAACTTTCTCAGCATTACCTTGGAAGGATGTAAAGCAGTAATATATCTAGGCCATCAAAACCCATTTAAAACTACAAGCAAATTCTGTCGAAGCATACTAAATCAAGCCCAGATTTTTGTTTTGGTTCTCCCCAGTTCCCTGTTGGCAGTAAATAAAAGAGCAGGCTTGCTAGTAGCTTGCTAATAGTGCTTGCTGGGCACTGGTTCGACGGAGCAGCTGGGGAAATGAGGCTAGCAGCCACTGCCATGGAGAGTGCCACCTTGCTAGTTGAGCGGGCCAAGAAGGGATCCGAACTCAAATACCACAGGAGAGCCAAAAAGGAATTCCAAAGGTGCTGGAGTGGACAAGAGGAAACAGCTCATCCCCATCCACCACAACCACACGAGCGTCATGTCAGCCCAGCAAAGCCAGGAACGCCAGGGCCAGCATCACCGAGCTGTTGCAACAGGATGGCACCCATTTATTCTTATCACCATGGGTAGGAGCCAGTGCAGCAAGACAAGCACCAGGCCTTCCCAGAAATGGATGTGGAATTATGTTTATCATACTACATAAAATAAAAAAAAAATGTTAAAACTAGCTATGTCGCTGCAGTGTTTTGGGTTGTGGGGGAAACCTTGTGTTTCAGTCACATCCCAGGGCATGTTTGTGCCTTCTTTCCCGGAGCACTTTGGTACCAGATGTCAGAATCCTCCACTGGGCTTGCGTGGCAGAACAGGCTGTTTCACTTACCCACATCTGCCATGTACTGAGGAGCCTGCGGCGTCAGGTTGTGCAGAGCCTTGGTTGCAAGTTCTCGAATAACGCTGCAAATAGCGAAATCATTTTAGCAACTGCAGAACTACAGCAGAACTAATGCATTAAAAATCCCACATGGGGAAGGGACCGCTGTGCAGAGTGAGAATAAAGACCCCAGCACCATGAAAGAATGCAGCATTCCCTGCCCATGTCGCCCTCTTCCCCACAAAGAAGCCGACAAAACCAAGGGGCAGACCCAGCAGCCTACAAGTAGCTTTTGGCTACGGGAACAGAACGTAGTGCTGAGAGAGACAAAGAAAAACACCAGCGGGGATGGCAGAACCCGAGGGCTCATCCTGTGCACTGCAGGGACACCACGGTAAACTGTTATTATTTCTCGTGATGCAAACTATTATCAGCAGTGATACAATCTCCTTTGGGTTATAGGTGCACATTTTCATCCTCATGAATGCTGAATATGAGTAAGCTCTATCTCCATGCATGAAATCCACTTTAATTATGATAATTATATGGTGATGATGTTTACCCCTCACGTATGCTAGGCAGTATATAAACGTGGTTTTGTTAGTCTCTCAACAGATTAAGGTCATCAGAAAAAGCAACAAAATTCACAAATCAAGTGCCAACAGCTACTCCTTGTCCAGTTTCCTCCACATTAAATATTACTCCTTTTCCATTACGCTAACAGTGCATTTTGAACTCTTATCTTTGGTGGAAAATAGTCCTCCCAAATTTAAGAAAATTACTCCAAACCCAGTCATAAGGTGATATCATTCTAAAATTGCCCATGAGTTAATGTCCAAGAACAACCTACCTAAGCAGTGTTCGCCTAGCTGCTATGCCAGTAGCTTTAATTGCTACAGTGACAAACAGACACTACAGCAATTTTTTAAACAAAACACACACAAAAATAATCAGGGAAAGCATTACATACAAAACAGTAAAAAGCATAACATACAAAACAGTCAAAGCCTAGAAATTAATATAATTAGACTGCATCAACTTACCTATCCCAGTGGTTAATCTTCATGTTAACTAAATGGTCAATCATTGGCTGCGTATATTCAGGAAAACCGGCAATATACACGCTGGAAAAGACACAGGCATGTGGATACATATATCATATATGTAAGACCATGAGAGAGAGAACAGGATCAATACGTCTGCATTTAACACGAGCCACTGTGATCATTTAAATCCTCTCGTCTACAAAGCAACAAAAATATCTTCTACCAAGTGAGATGCAGCTGACTCATAATACAGCACAAAACACTTCACATTTCTTGTTGAAGATTTCAATCAGCTCTGGACACTTCCAGATTCTCTATAAAAATTACTACATAGGCAAAAACACTGACAACAAAAGCAAAAACACTTTAAATAATCAATTCCTATTGCTGAATTCTAGAGAAAGGTGGAAGTGTTAGATTCACACATGTAATTAGTTTGGACTAAAGAAATGTGCTATCAGGGTATGTTTTCCATTGTACAGGTAAAAATCAAGTTACAGGCAGGTGTGTCATCGTGTGTCTCAACAAGATGATCCAAAACTGAAGCTGGGTTTTCAATTTGTTATTTGGAAAAGTCAAATATTTACAGAAGTCCCTTATGGCAGAAGCCCCAAGGGCGCCGAGCGCGGCGCTCAGACGTGCGGCCCTGCAGGGCTGCTCGGCTGGCAACCCACACCGCGCTGTGCAGAGCTCGGCGGCCTTGGAAGCCCCAGCTATTGAAGCTGAGGGCCCTGGAGCCACAGGCTTTTCCAGTCCATTGGACAGGTATTAAATACTCCCGGAGAGGCACCCACTGGCTAGCACTTGCTGGCAGCAATAGGGCCTGGATAAAGGGAGGAAAGGAAAGGCCCCTGCACCACCTCAATTTCACCTTTTTGGATCTTCTCAGTTTACGTTGTAAACGTAACGATGTTCCAATAGTAAATGTGTGTGCAATTGCAAGTGAAACAGGAGCAAAACACAGACAGTGCTGCATGCTCAGGCACTCCAAGCTGTGCGAATCATCAGCGCAGCAGGAACCCCTAAACGCACGGCGCAGTGGTGGGAGCGGCAGCGGCAGTGCAGAGCTGCAGCAGGAGCAGCGCTCGGAGCTGCAGCAGTGCTGGGAGCAGCAATAGCACTTGGAATTGCAGCAGTGCTGGGAGCTGCAGCATTGTGAGCAACAGCAGCAGTGCTGGGAGCTGCAGCAGCAGCACTGGGAGCTGCAGCACTGGGAGCTGCAGCAGCAGTGCTGGGAGCTGCAGCAGCAGCACTGGGAGCTGCAGCAGCGCTGCAGCACAAGCAGTGCTGGGACCTGCAGCAGCTCTGGGAGCTACAGCAGTGCTGGGAGCTGCAGCTGCAGCAGCACTGGGAGCTGCAGTGGCAGCAGCAGCGTCACCCACCCGGCGCTGGGGCCAGCGCCGCCGGCTCTGCCTGGGGTTTCGCCGCTTGCCGCTGCACACGCAGCAATGTCGGTTCCCTCCTCTCCGCTCCAGAGGCTGTGCACACGCCGGCCTCTGCTCGTCTCAGAAGCGCCTGCTCCTCGTGTCTTCAGTATTTGTTGTTCTTCCGAATCACTTCAAGCCAAGTGCCCTTACATGGCTATTCTCAAAGGAGCTCTTGGGCACCATCTCTAGCCCAGTTCACTTCCAGGTCTAGTTTACAGCCATTAAGCTACAGCTCTATTCTCAGCCCCTGCTGGGTGTTTCCTACACGAACAGCCCCCTTGCCAGCCCTTATGATGAGACTCTTGTCCATCTCCCTGCTCACACTGTCCATCTCCCTGCTCCTTCCTTAACCTTACTTGCATCCAACCCAAGAGTCCTGACGGTCTCCTTTATTTTCAGTTCACACAAAAGAGTTTTCCTCTATTTCCATCCTCAGAAATAGATTAAGATGTTTGAGTTGCATTTTCCAAAGCCTGTATAGCAAGCTATTTCAAACGCATGAAAAGCCCTCATGAAAGGCTTCCATCATGAAAGGCATCCATCAAAATATCTGGAAGGATATGAGCTACTCATACCAAGATATTATCATAAGAACAATCAAAAAACTATTTCTAATACCACCTGATAATATAATTTTGCATTGTGGCAATATCCAGATGATTTCTTGGTGGGTGAGGAGGGGAATGTGTGTGTGTCTGTGTGTCTGTATACACAAAATCGACCTCTTTAGGGGAACACTGATACACAATTATTGAGCCCTTTATGCTCAGGGGGATCTACCAGCGCAGACTTTCGGAGCTCCCCAGCGTCCCGTCCTCAGGCTCTTTACATGGCCCACGGGGCTCAGCATTGACTGCCTGGGATGTGGGTAGGGGACAGAAAACCCTCACCCCTTGGCTGGTGGGATGTGGACTAGGAAGCTCCCGTAGCTCTTTCCAGCTCCACAAGCAACTGCAGCCTCCAGGCACTGCTCTCCCAACAGCCCCTTCCTCCTCCATCCCGGTGACGGACGCTCCCCGCGCAGCCAAACGCAAGCTGATGCCCTGCTGCTTTGATGCTACTCAGCCCAAAATAAGGAAATAATTAAGTATTGACCCAGATAATTACACTGCGCCAGGAAGCAGAGAGGGGAAGATTTTTAAAAGCAACGCAGTGAGCGGGATGACAAACACATTACAAAGAAGAGTCTGACAAATAACACTTAATATGGTTCCAAGGAATCACACTAATAACTGGATAAGTTCTTGATAAAGATTTAACAAATTAATTGTTTTCTTAGCTAAGAAAACAATTAGTTAGCTAGGTAATATTCCTACATGAACTCTGGGAATTGGAAAAAAAGGAGTAATAAATGATAGGAAGAATGTGATTAAAAAAAAAAAATAGACCAAATATTTCTTTAAATATTCTCTCCCCGCGGCTGAACCAGCAGCTTCACACAGAAACCGGCCCTTCACCTACCCTAAAGCAGCAACAACAAACGTAAGAGATTATTTAACGTATTTTCAGGAGAGTGAGAAAAGAAAGCAGATAAATTCTTTGCAGGTAAAAGAGGACCGTGGTGTTTGGAAGAAAACACCTACATGGAAACTCACCTTATGGTAAGGTAACAGTTAGCTCTGTTACCCACAGCAAAATAATCTGCTGCAGTGAGGATGTCTATGCCGTGGGGAAACGTGCCCTACAGATGTGGGGAGGAAGGGGAGAGAAAAAGGAAATTAAACAGTATAAAGCATACATAAAATATCTTCTGAATAGGCAGCATTATTGCACATAATTACCTACACTGGACAAACTCAGAAAAAAATTATTTCTATTTTATAGTAAAACATTATATTAGAAATACATGGAATATAGGCTATATAAACAGCCAAATGTCCTACTGCACCTAGAGTCACTGATAAGGAGTCGGATAAAAAGCAGCAGATAATATAAGTGCACAACAGTTATTTTACTATACACAGTCATATCCAACTATACATTGATGAATGCATGATTTTATGTATATATATATATATATATAGTGCCATTTATTCAGAATTTTGACTGATTAATACTAATTTAATGTACCATTACACAGCATGGCTGTTTTGGAATGGAGGAGACAGAATGGCCTCAAGTCAAAATTAAGTATAATAGAAATTAGCAAACAACTAAAGACACTGTATCCGTTTACAAAAGGGAAAAATCAGAGGATATTTAAACAATAAGGCTATGTGGAAGTAGAGGTTCTCATTATAATTTATTTGCTTACAGTTCACCCACCAATGCCCTGTTAGGATGAAGCAGAGCAAAAAGAACAGATCAATGCCTGAATACTTGGAGAGAAGTGGAGCTGCAAGCAGTGGGAAGCTGTCAGCTACCGCGGAGCTCCTACTCAGGGCAGTGTGATGCCAGCAGCCCAAGGCAACAAGGCCTGCAATCTGACTGAACCAGCAAAGAGAGGCAGAACACACCTGGCTTTCCCTAGCACGGCTTTGTGAACTCTAAAATACCTCAGACGTGGAATGAATACACTGCCCAAAAGCCTAATGCAGCACTGATCAGGGCCGTGCACAGGGCCAACACTCCAGCCATGCACTGGAGAAAAATGTCAGTTTGATTTGTGACCAACCAGCAAGGTATAGAATGATGTATAAAACAATGTTCATGGTATATAAGGAAAATCAGAGCTAAATTTTGAATTCTAGCTGTTGGATGGCCCTTGCTTTACATTACTTGGCTGTAAGTGTGCAAGGCTGATGCTACCATAGTGCACGTCCTTGAGACAGTAAAATTCCCGGAACTCATTTCAGGCGTACAGAGTTCATGGCCAATGGGAGACACCAAACTTCAAGTCTACTCTACCAAAGCACTTAAAACTTACTCTGCAAAATGTTGTCCCAAGTGCATTTACCGTGATTTATGCTTTAAAAAAAACAGGCCCTGTGCACTGCTTTTCAACACGGTTTTCCTCTACGTGGAGCTGCTGCAGCCCATTTTGTGCGTCCCCGGCGCCGGCCCAGGGCACAGCGCACGGCACCCGCAAGGCAGCCCAATTTCTGTCTCCACCTACTCAGCACCAGCACTTGGGAGCTCCTTCCCATTCAGAGAAAGGGTGTCTGTTGCAACACATTATAGCCAGGCAAAGAACTGCAGAGGGTGGATCTGCTGATTAGGTAACCATTTTTCCTAGGTGGGAAGGAAGCTCAGCAAGCAACCCTGTATTTCTACAGCAATCAAGTCCAAGACAGATAGGGCTCTTTGTGCCATGATTACTTGGTATTTCACTGCAAGCCCCTCCTTACCACGACAACATTAATGCCAAAACCATGTGTTCTGTCAGCATTAATAGATTTGAATCACGCATTGAGGCAGAATCCCTGTGGAAACACTCCAGTTGTGAGCTAAGCCAGCACTGAACTCCTCCGCCTGGTCTGCAACTTTGCTAGATGCCAGCGCATGCAAAGCCAGAGCAGCCAGGAGCCCTCTCTCACCTGCAGCCCGGGTGGATACTTCACCCAGCACCGCGTGCCAAAGCCTGAACACGAGTTGCTCTGGGGTGACTAACCCCTCCGGAGCTGTAAGTACAGGCCTGGGGAGGAACTCAGGCAGCTTCTGCTTCTCACAGCCCTAGGTGGGTCAGGTCACCATAAACACCTACTCTTCCTCCTAATCTTCTTGCATCCTTTCTCAGCTATTAACCTAATTTGATCTAGATATACACACACTACTTTAGGATACATTATGCTGTAGCTCTAAGGGAATAAAATCCCATCCCATAACTCAGAGAATTTCAGGAACAGCATCAGGGAAGGCCACACACGGCATCTTTAGCCTTGAAGGTTTGTTAAGCTTTAATGAAGATCCCCCTAAAGAACTGCTTATCAAAGACACAAAACTTGTGTCTCTGCCATTATGTTGACTCCACATGGCTTGCTTTGTCACAGAAGTTCATCAACTGAACCATTTTTCCCACAGTTTCGTTTCAGGTTGCACACACAGCTTCATTAATTTAGAAGAGAAGCAAGGAAAGGAAATCCTTGGAAATCAAACTCCTTGCCCTATGCTATTCTACAAAGTTCCAAGTCAGCTTTGTATGGGAAATACAAAGCTTACAGCTACTTAAACGTTCCTAAGTTACATAGGAGCAAAGCACACTACTTCCCAAACATCTTTGGCATCTCCAAAATTAAGAGATTTCTCAAAAAGTTTTAGCTAGTAGGACTGTGATAGAGCAGACAAAGCTCAAATATGTTGATGGTTCTTGAGTCTTGCTCACTGTTACATGTCCAAACCACAGCAAGGGTTGTGCAGCACATCCATGCTGTTCAGACTCCCTCTGTTAAAAACAAGGAAGTCAGAGAAGCAAAAGCAAAGCCAAGTGGCACTATTTTAGCCTTAAGAGCACAGCAGTTACACTGGCGGCTGCTATGCATGCTGATTTGGGTTTTGGGCATGGCTTAACCTTACCAGAAAGCTCATCAACCTTCCAACCTGGTATGCTAAAGTAAAACTCACATCTCAGAAACTATACCACAAGAACCTGTTCCAGATAGTGAAAACAAATATCCTGTGACAGAGGTCTTCACGATGTGCAGATCCTTCCATCCCATTCCTCTGAAGCCAGAGTGTCTAACATTGATTGCAGGTATTGCACGTTTACAGCAATCTACAAGCCACTAATGAACGAAGCTTCGGGAAAGTCACCCTACCTGTCGCCCAACATTCTCCTGGAAGGCAGCCTGAGGAAGAGAGAACAAACATACCAACATGAGTCAGGTTTGCTTTTTGATAAACACCAGATGATGAATTCAGCACACACAACGATATAAATGACCCGTGGCTTTTCTTTTTTAAATAAAGTAAGCTTTGTTAGCAGGACAAGCCCACAGGGGGGTTTGTTTCTCTTTCCCTCGGCTCTCGGCGCTGCCCGGTGCGCGCAGCAGCTCGAGCCGCACGTCCACACGGCCCGCGCCACCACAAGAGCGTCTGGCGGCACGAGGGGCTTCGCACCAGAAAGGAAGCTCCACAGGTGCCAACATGAGATTCTGGGGGAGCTCAACTTCATCCTGTGACTTCAAGATCATTTGCTTATGGCACATCAAAGTTCAAATCTTTGTGGGTAAAGTCATCAGATAAACAATATTGAGAAGAAATACTGATTTCAAGGAAAAAGAAATGAAAGTATGGTGAAGTACTGAAGTTGTAGAACTCGAGCACAAAATTACTGGAGGTTTCCTAGGCCTTACACTAAGTAAATACCAAAATCCTGCCAAATGTGACCTAGGTGGCCATGAAGTTAACATCTCTACCTAGGTTATAATCAACTCCATAGTCCTTAATCAACTGCTAGCCCTTGGAATTGTTGTTTCCAAAAAGGAATTTTTTTCCTACAAAAGATACACAAATACAAATAAGCATTAATAGAACCCTCTGTATTTTAACTGCGCTACAGAAAGTGCCACAGGAGCTTTGTCAGACAGGGCTCCCGTGGTAAGGACAGACCGCAGCCCACTGGAGGCCGTCGCGTGTGCAAGCGGAGGCCCGGCAGCCCACGGACACGGCACGGAGCGCTCCCGGCGCCTCCTCCCGCATGTCTGAGGCGGCAGCTGCTCCGGTCAACGACTGCTGCTGGCCGAGCTGGCGCTCACAGCGAATCCCTGCAGGGTCCCTCACCCCTTGCACGACACCCAGCTCTTGCAGGACGCCCGACCCTCGCAGGGTGCCCAGCAGAGGCTGCGGCAGCCCCACAGGGCAGCCCCGCGTTGCTGGCAGCACCGGGGCCGCACCGGCCGCGCGGAGCAGCCGCTGGATGCGACGCCGCTTCCGGAGCGGCTGCGGGCCCGGCTGCCGCCACGAGGGTCTCCTCCCCTGCTCTTGCCTCTCTACCAACCCTGGGCAGCGCCTCCTCTCACGCCACCTGCATCTCTTCAGTTCTTCCTGCACAGATGTTGCTTTAGGTGCCCTTGTCAAGCTGCTTACACCTTCCTGCCCAGCATTAGAGGGCTTGAGCAAGGATAAGGCTCTTAGTGCTCGTATCCAAGGGATTTAAAATGAATTAATCCTCTGCACTGCAATTTCTTCCAACCACGTTCTGCTCAGACAAGTGCCCTACTGCTGGAAAGCCTCCCAAGCCAGCTTCTGGCCTGTCAGAAACCAGCACCCAAACAGTGTAATTCTGGTTTCAAAGCAGCCGAGGTTTCGTTCTACCCATCACGGAGGTCCAGGACTGAAACATTCTGAGGCAAGAGCATTAATCAGTCTTCACTGGTACACAAGGGGCAACAGACAACCAGGAAGCAAAACAGCTGTGTACACAGATATTTCACCAAGTGTGTTCTTTCTAATGTAGCAATTTTATGTGTGTGTTTGTTTGTTTGTTTTTTTATGTAGGAAGGTTTTCCTTAATGTTTTTTTTTTATTTACGAGCAGGTTGAGGGAGGTTTGCACAACGAACCTCTCTGAGCTGCGGCGTTCGTTAGTGCCTCTTTGTACAAATCGGCCTTGACCAAATCATGAGGAACGTGACGGCGAGGACAGAAAGACAGGAGGACACTGCCCATTCCAGTGCCCTAGCAATTCAACCACGTTACTGTTCCAGAAGAGCAGCATCCTACCTGCACTTCAGCAGCAAAATTGAAAAAATAAAAACCCCCACACACTGCCATTGCAAGTTACTTTTCCTGGATGTGAAGGAGCACCTTCAAGGAAAAAAAACATTGAAGTTTTTAACTGCTTCACAGATTTCTTTGTAATACTTATTTTAAAAATATATATATTTATATATGCAATTTAAAAAAAGGATTTTAATTCACTGAAAAAGTCACTAGTTTCTAAGGGATTTAAGTATCTCAGGTTTTTTTGAATAGCTGTTTTTCACTTTTTGTATCATCTAAGCTGAGGACACAATGCTCAGGGCCCAGCTGCCCTCCGTCATTCCAGGAGTATTCTCTAACCTGAATATTTCGCTCTCCCCACAGAAAGCTAAAAAGCCCTGGATCATTTTCCAAGGCAGGTTGTCGGAAAGCTCCAGCCAATGCAGGGTCACTTACCGTGCGATTATCCCTGGCAATGATTATTCATGGCAGAGTTGCAAAAGCAGCCTCTGAATGAGCTTCAAAAGAGCCTGTTCTCCCTCACCTCGGGGTTCAGAATCTCTCTCTGGGCACCTCTGCTATAGTTGTGCTCCATATTATGTGTTGTAATAATGGAAAACCTAATAAAACTGCAGTTTGTTTAAACATGTATTTAACCAAAGTAATGATTGGGAATAACTACACCTTGAAATTGTGGTAATATCTGGTAAGCACAAAATATTTCTCTGCCTGCTTTCCCAAAAGAGGAAATAAAAGTTTCTGGATAATCATAATGATCCATTAAAAAACAAAACAACAACAAAAAACAGTTGTTTCAAATTTTTACCAGCCCCAAATAAAATGTATTAATGAAAAGCTAATTTGCCTGCAGTTAATCAAATGGCAGAACACTTGATACTGAATATATTTAAACTGAGAAGAAAACAATATGCTGTATTTTATACTAACCTGCAACGTGGAAGCACAATCTGCACTATGCATCACATAGATAAACATATCTGTTTTAGCACTATATTTCATGGTCAAACTACCAGTTAATGTTTAAACACAGAAAAATAATAAAGATTACAAAACGCAGGTAGAACATCACTAAAGGTAAGTACTCTTGCAGTGATAATCAGGGTAAAAACAATATTTTTCTTTATTTTACATACATATAAAATATTTGTATTTATTTTTCTTTATCCACGTTACCCCTGATTCTTATAACTTCTATAAATAAACAATCACACAAACAATTTGCTTTTCACCAGCTGTCTCACTAATGCTTCAAGCAGTTTTCAAGCAGGTGAAGGCTCCTTTGTTTCAACTCAAGTGAATGGAATTGCCCAGGAATGGTAAATTCCGTAGTTTCCAGACTGTGGGTGCCTGGGTGCTTTCGTTTCAGGGGAACAGCACTGCCCCTACTCCACAGTTGTCCCTCCCACGAAGGGCTCATTATAGCAGTTACACCCAGAGCACGTTCCACGCGCCGGACTGTGCCTTTGTGGACCGCGCGCTCTGCCCCGCGGCTGCCAGGGCCCTGCCCCGCTGCCGCGGCAGCCGCGCTGCAGCTCCATCCAACATCTGCAGCTCCCAAGCACACGTGGCACGAGAAGGTACAAGGATGCTGTCCAGGCACCCCGAGAAGTCCTCCTTACCTGCAAAGGCACCAGCTTGCAAAGCCGACACCAAAACACGAGCCCCAAAGCTGTTCATGGGCTCTGCATGCAGCATCAAGCGCCTTCCTTTCGGGGCGTGCGGAGGGAAGTGCGATCTTAAGAACTGGGACACCTGGCTCATTTGACAAGTGCTGCTTGGTCTTGTGTTTGACCATTATAACTAGCTATTAATAAAGTTTTTTTTTTTTTCTTTTTTCTTTTTTAAGCGAGTGTAATTTACCAATCTATCCAAGCCAGGCATGAGTTACAGCACACTGACCTACATCCTCTTGCTCTCTACTTCCTCACCCTCTCCTCCATAGAGGCCCTTCTCTTAACAACCATCGTGGCTTCTTTTCAATTTTCAACACCACAGACATGTTCTGCCCAAAGGCTCCAGGGAACAGGCTCTGGAGCATCAATCCTATTAAACAGACAGCAGTTCCTGCATAATCACTTCCTTAAAAAAAAAAAAAAATCTCCGTTCTATGGAAGAGTTTTGTAAAATAACTGGAGACGTGTTTGAAAGACATGGATTACTCCAGACTGTTCCATTACAGAATAGGAAAACTAAAATAATAGAGAAGTATTAATAAAGTATTAATTAGTTTACCATTTTGTTGGTTTTATGAAGACCTGGTTTGTATACTGCTATAATTATTTACTGTTTTGCACTCTTACTAAAAACAGCTAAGTAGTTCTTTCTTGGATACTTTACCTTGTCCAGTATGATGATAACACAGTACACTGTGAACTGTGGCCATAAATCAAGATGTGTATCTGTGTGTTATATTATTCATAAACTAAATTCATAACGTACCCTTAAGGATTTTTTTAAAAAATCACTCTTGCTCACAGGGCAATATTCTGCTTATACACAGTAAATTTACATAGTCATCTGACACTGCATGCTATGAACTTAAAACTAACACGAGCACAAGTTTGAATGTGACAACTTACAGAAGCAGCTCTTCGGCAGTTAACATCGCGATCAAACACCGCGGCGATAACCAGCGCACTGAGAAGAGAAGAAAACAAGCATTAAAAAAGATATGAAATAGTAGGGAATGCCTGAGAGTAGGAAAGCTATGCAAGAAGTGCACACATTCATTTAACTGCAGAACAAGGTTTCCTACTGGAAACAGCCCTGGACAAAGTCGCTCTCCCGGCCTGTGCGATTCCAAGTGAGCACCTGGGAACACACGTTCCCAGGAGCAACTCACAGCAAGGCCCAGGTGAGACCTAAGCAAAACCAGAAGTTAAGCAATGAGAAATTTTGGCTTCATTTATACATGAATATCCTGTAAGTAACGAAAATCACAAAGCAACATGTAAATCCTGCCAAAAAGGAGAGTGGCACTTGAAGCAGTGCCACAAAGCAGTTTCTCAAAAGGTGCCATGGAGATCCTGACACTTGATTACCCAAAAACACTTCTGTGTGCACCAAGCCGGGTAACCCTGCAAGTTCAGCTCCTTTTTACCTCAACCAAACAGGTTTTTAAGATGTGCCACACAACTGGAGAGAAAGAGTATATCCCAGGCCACGCCGCCTGCCACTCTGGAAATCCACCCCCAGCATTCAATTAACTCAGGGACAAATAAACAGCACTTCAGGAGAATCATTTAAGCAGAAAATTATTCATTTCAAACCCCGAAACTCTTCATTACACTACGCATTGACTCCAGGCAAAACAGGAAATAAACACTGCCTGAAAAGTAAATCCGAGGGAGCTTTGCTTGAGCATAAAGATATTAATTACACTGATAATATCAACCTTCCCTGGCTAGTGGCAATCAGGTTCCTACAGCGGAGAAGACCGTGTTGTTAAAACTCACTGAAATGCACGGGCAATATACTGCCTGTCTCATTGCAGTTCATTCCCATCTCAGGAAAACAAGAAACAGAAAGCAAGACTGCAATGGAAAATTAAAGTCCACCAATTTATTGTTTTACCAAACAGACATAAAAGCTGCTTGAAAGGCAGTTGATGCTCTCCAGGCATTACCTGCATGAGCAACTCTTGTCCTTGCCACAAGTACAAGAACTACGTGATTACACACAGCATCCCAGAATGGCTGAGGTTGGACGGGACCCCTAGGGATCCCCCAGCCCAGCCCCTGCTCCAGCAGGGACACCCAGAGCTCGGGGCACCCGGTCCCATCCAGGTGGGCTGGGGAGATCTGCAGAGCAGGAGCCTCCGCAGCCGCCCTGGGCAGCCTGGGCCAGGGCTCGGGCACCCTCACACCAAAGAAGCTCTTCCTCACATGGAGACGGAACTTCCTGTGTTCCAACTTGTCCTGTCATTATAAGACAAGGGAAGGTAATCCATATGATGTGCCTGGAAGAGCAGATATTTAGGAAGGAATATATAGCGAGTAGCTTACACGGTGTTGAAACAAGGCTGTTTCAAAAAGGTGTTGGGTCAAACACGTCATCTTCGTGCAATGTCTGCTCATTTGCTTCTCTGGCATACGGAGAAACTTAAAAATCTCTTTAAAGGACCATTTCAGAAGTACCGAGTTTTAATGATATGAAAAGCTCCCACAAATGTTTTAATTAGAGAATAGAACATATTCAAAACTACGGAAGTGGTTGGAAGGCATGCTGGAAAGCACGACGAAGCCAACTTCTGCCTGAGGTTCAGATTAGACAGACCGCAAGGCAAAAATTATTTTATGAGTTACGCAACTTTCCAATATTATTTTCTTCTGGAAAAAAGAAAGAAAGAAACAAGCAAACAAGCAAACGAGAACAAAACTAGCAAGGCAGAAAGCTCCAAATGCAGAGTGCTCTGCAGGCAGAGCAAGGTAAGTGCTGCAGAGCACATCCAAGGGGCTGGCCTGGCTCACGCCTAACGCCTCCCAAGCCAGCGTCCCTTCTCCAGCAGTGCTAGAAGTGACACGTCCGCATGCGAGGCGGGCACAGGAGGGCAGGAAAAGCATGTCCCACGAGCGTGAGCCCTGGCCCCGCGGCTGTGACACACTGTGCCTCAGCATCGGCACTGCGCCATTTCTCTGCTCTCCTTCATTTCTCCTGCCATGGCAGCATTTTCACTGGAAGCAAGACCTGCACAATCGTTTACCAAAAACCTCCACAGTTTGCATAACGTATCTTCAGCACAAGTAACTCCCTTAGTCTTCAGTCTTTTCAAATGGCAAAAATGGTTAAAAGGGCTGTCACCAGAAAATAAGGCCTGCTCTTTACACTTCGTATTTAGGCTTCAAATTTGGTTAATTTAATATAATGTGCTTTATTTACTAGACTGCAAACCGGGTTTGCAGTCTAGTAAATAGGTTGCAGGTTACTAAGCACAACAAGAGCTCCTGGTCAAAGTTTTGGCTTTTAATCAAATGGAGCTTTCCCATCTTTTCTTCTTGATTTTCTTCTGTAAGACAGACCTGTGTAATGGAAACCAGCATGAGGCACTATCTGGGTGATGCCACCCGAGTTTCTCTGTGCTTTAACTCCACACTAAGCTAAGAAAAAAAAAAGAAGAGAAAAAAAAGAATTTGGTCATCTTCCCCCTCCCTTTATATTCCTAAATGAAACTGTGATCATGCTTTTACATTCTGCCTTCTAATAAAAGCTTCTTCAACTTATCAAAGTGCATTCCTGTTTCCTTCCCAGTTGACTGAACAGTTTTCCAGGCAGGCGCAGCCGGCCTGGACACATGGCCTGGCCAGGAGAGCAACCTGCCTGGGATGGAGCACGTCTAAGGTGTCCTCACGCGGCCGCTTCCCTCGTGGGAGTTGCTGTGATCCTCCACCAGGATTTCCTAACGCAGGGAGGCTGTTGATGTCAAGGGCGGCGGGACGGCTGCTTTTCTGCGCGGCCGGCTGCGGGACGCGCCTCGACTCGCCGGCCGTGGCCCGGGCCTGCGCACCCGGGCTCTGCCCAGGGCCACCGCGCTGCAGCCCCGTGGACACGAGGGCGCTCGGAAAGCGAGGGGCAGCCCTGGCGAACGGGGCAGCTGCCGCCTTGCGAGCGGCCCCCGAGCGGCCGTGGCCACCGAGGCTGCCGGGCTGCAGAGCCGCCCGTCGCCCCGGCCTCCTGCGGGCTGGGAGACAACCCGGGCCTTGCTGCTGCCGCGGCGCCGACTCCGCACACGGCTTCTCCTGTCGCCAGCCTCCAAGAAGCAGCTCCCAAGGAGCCAAACATACCACCCCGCAGCTGTGGGAAGCGGCAAAGAAACTCCCAGGGCCGCTGCCAACTTGGCGCGAGCCCAGAACCTGCTTCCTGAGCCCAAAAAAGGGCTGCGCCCAAGGTCTGGCGTCAGGGAAGGGGAGGGGAGGCCGGGACGGCACCGAGGCTGAGGGCCTGGGCAGCGCTGAGGCTGGGGCGCCGCGTTGCTGCCGCCTCCTCCTTTTGTTTAGGAGTTATAGAGAAATCGCACACGTGAGCGCGGTTCTTCAGGGCCAAGTCTGAGGTGAAATGGTGAAAGATAAGCTTAGATGGGTCAGCTTGTGTTGGCTTAGAAGCTGGTAGTGTGTCACCGCACAAACACTTCAACTCCTCAAATACACCCATGTTCCATATGCACACTCGTGTAGAAAGCACAATATGGAAAACACATGGAATGGGAGTTACAACAACAAAAAGGAAAACAACAAAAACACACAAATAACACGTACACATGATGCCCCTGCAGGGAATAATTCCACAGAGCGCAGGACGCAGCAAGTACACAGGTGTCTTCTGGAGGCAACGCTCAAACACACGAAGGAAAAAAACCCCGGCCCCAAACCCCGCAGCTTCTGTGCGGGTTGGCGAGGGCAGGAGGCGCAGGGGGAGCGCGGGCGCCGCGGGACGGGACGGCCCCACCTGCCCCCCTCGCTCCCTCCCACGGGGGCCGCTCCGGCTGCCCCGCGCCGCCCCCGCCGCCCTCACACGTGTCCTGCACAAGCGAAAATGCAGCTCCCTTCGGACGCGGCAGGAGCTTCACGTCATCAAGATAGCAAGCTATAGTTTAATGTTTTAATTGCCTCATAGGGCAGGGGTGTTTTCCTTTTTATTCGCTGCCTAGGCCGTGGACAGAGCCCATCGCACACCTGCCGCTCTGCAGACAGCAGCTCCTCTGCACCCCAAGCAGCACAGACCGAATCTCCCGCATTCCCAAGGAATTAAATCAGGTGTCAGGTTCCCCTCAAAGAGAGCGCGGGCATGGGGAGAGCGCGAGAGGACAAGTCCCCAATCCAGCAGCGCTGGGCAAATGGGAACAGCAGGTGCAAAAAGGCCGTTCCTGCAGTAAACGTGATGCGTCCCCACCTCGGGCTGCTGCTTCTTGTGGTCCTGCAGTTCAAACAGGGCAGCGAAGGTTTTGGAAACCAGTTTAACTGGACTTCAAAAAAATATATAAAATAAAAAGCAAACATCTGCATCTTGTTGTGATATGGACAGGGAGAAACTGGCAGAACAGTTAAGAAAAACTAAAAATTATGAGGTAAATATTTCTAATGCATGTTCTCTTCCTCCTGCTCTCTCTCTACATATATATAGATAGATAGATATCTATATACATAGATAGATAAATATGTGTGTGTATATATACACACATATACACAGTACTTTTTTTTAAGGCAAGGGGTTAAGGTCTGCACAGGAAGGAGGAAGGCGGCTGCATGACCTGCTGTTGCCTCGGGTTGTCACATCACTATTCTGACAGTTTTACTACTTTGCCCCCAAATAGTCCTGAGAAAGCCAGGAGGAAAGTGGGAGGTATTTCTTTCAAAGCCCTGCTCCAAGTTTTATTAACAACATATGACTTTTATGCACTTTAAGGTGATTTTTCACAAGCGAAAAGTGAAATATTTATGCCACCTGCCAACATTTTAGCACTGAACATGTCAACGTAGGAAGGGCTTACTTTAAAAAATAACTTCCCTTTTGGTGCAGGTGTAAGGCAGAGCCCGTTTTCCCAATTATCTCACCTGCAAAGCTATATGGACTTGTAAGATAAGCTAAGATAAGCAGCGGGGAAAAAAAGAAAATAAGGAAAACAAACAAAAAATTCCCCCCACTGTTTTAGCTTGCGAGGCTGCATGGCAAGAGTCGGCCCCAGTTGTGGGGAGGCCTCTTTAACCATTCACCACCCGGCAGGGCCTCGCTGGGCACCCCAGTGCCCACCACGGCCCCTGCCCGGCTGCTACACTGCATTACCTGAGCTCCTGTAGCCAGCGCGACAGCGCTGCCAAGGACAAACCACCCCCAGAGCCAACAGCACAGCCAAAACCACGCTTATTTAAAGAGGGGGCAGCCTTCCTTCCTGGTGAACGGGTTGTGATTTCTCCTGCGAGCGCTCGGGCACTGCCTGCACCCAGCTTTGTGCTGGGCAGCGCAGCCTGCAGCAACAGCATGTGCTTGGCTGCAAGGTGCTGAGTTAAGCGTTTTTTTTTTCCAAGGCTGCAACAATTTGCTTGTGGCTAGAAGTATGACTCTTCTTTAAGTAAAACAGTGACACACCTAAGGCTAGATTTAAAAAAAAAAAAAAAAAAAAGCCGTATGTAATTATCGGCTTGCTGACACAATAGGTGAAACTGTGTGTCATACTGTATTTGAATAGGTTCTCTTTTACCCGTTTCACTCTGGAGCGGCGATTCTACCTTCAAGAGTGGATTGTATTCAGAAAAGATATAGCCTGTATGAAGAATTTTTAAGCAGAGCCTTACTGCAGCATTAGCATGAGCTAATATATTTTATCAGCTGAAATTTGCTAATGGATTTGCTGAAAAAAGTATATGCAGAGCAGAACATCTTACAGTTGAGTATTAGAAATTGTCAGCTTCTCCCCTCTCCACCCACTTACTCCAGACAAGTGAAGCTGGCAGAAGCTCAGTGTGAACTGGTGTTATGACCATAGGTAGAAGATATCAACTATTTGCATCCGCTATTTTCCTAAAAAGAGAAGCAGAATTCATTTCCAAACAAGTGAAAGCCGAAAGCCTTTTTCAGCAAGGCAGTCTGCTTGCGGACTGTACGCGACCTCTCCCCAGCACTTTCACGGCATCCAGCAAAACCCCACAAACCAAACAGAACCAGAACGGTGAGCTTGCACGTAGCACACGGAGGAGGACATCATTTCACAGCACAGAAGGTAAAAGAAATGCGTAAAAGCAACCTATTGTACAAAGCATCACAAACAGAATAAAAATATCTGATAAAAAGATGCCTTACAAACTCAGGCTTTGCTTTTTCATGTTTTGCTTGACAAACAAGCTTGTTAGACATTAAGAGAAACCTCAAAGGTGTTTAAGTCAGAGGATGGAAGCAGCAGATTTATCCTCATGAAGCTCATGACTGTATCTACAGAAAACACCAGTTTTGAACCAGACTTTAGCATTCAGATGGCTACACTCATCCTGAAGACAGGCTGGGAGCATGAGCACAAATCCATGCCTGCCACATCACAGGTAGCAGTAGCTCGCTCGGCCCGACGGGCAGGAGGCTGCTGGGGACACTGGGCAAGGTGCTGGTCACAGGTGCCACCGTCCTCGCTGCTACCATTACCCATGCTGGTTAGATTAAAGATAGCCCAGGAATAAACCCAAGATGCAACCATACATTAATTTAACTGTGCAAGCATATCTTTAGGTACCCTCATCTTAAGAGGTCCAGAGTATGCATGATCTATGATAAACTCAGCTAGAAAAGAACTTAAAGACAACTCTTCAAATGAAAGTATTTTCTTAAAACTTACTATGGAAAACAACACTATTCATGGCATTCTTAACTTAAGCAGGTCTTTTCTGCAATTCCACAGGCTCTTTCTGGAAGCCATCCAGGAGCACTGCATGGCCTCATCTTCTGACAAACCTTGAGGTTAGGACACATCTCTTCCTTAGTCTCCAGTTTCTTGTGGATAAAACAAGATTAAAACAACATGAAACTGCTTTACCAGAGACACGGGGCTAAGATTTTTTTTATCCATCCCAAAAAACTTTAAAATCAGGTTTTAAGGAAGAAAGAACAAGTCACATTTTCTGTACGCACCTGCTGAGCTAAATAAGTAATTCCACGTTTCCCAAATCCACATTGCAACACTCAGCAATTTGGAAAACAAGGTGCTTTTTTTTAATATATATTTTTCCTCCTTTAAAAGATACTGCTAAATGCCTATGGATCAATAAACCTCCAGTGCAGTCAAGAACAAAGATGCCCACATTGCTACCATCAGTGGGCATACTAGCCAAGAAAGAGTTAGAAGCTACTTCTTTGTATTTACAGGGCATTCAGCTGAGAAATGTCAGCAAGTGCACAGCCAGCAAAAAGCCTAAAGTCCAAAGACAGACTTCCACAGGAAAAAAAAAATCTAGATGAGAAATGGCAAACTGTCCATTCTTCCAAAGTGAAAGGTTTCCAAGAATCCAGGATCACAGCTCAAAGCTCAGTTCTTAACACTTTTGGAAAAAGAAAGTAATTTTACTTTAAAAATGTCATTTAAATGTAATGATACATAATGAGCCCATTACAAAACTTATCATTTTTCCAGTTTCAATTAGCAAGAGTAAAATTTCCTCCAGAGGCACATCTGTAAAGGCAAAACTGACTTGGTTCCCTAAGTGTTCTCTTCTCCTGCTATTTCCAACTCTGGAGGGCTCCATAAAGCAACTGCTCAAGCTTAGAGCAGTTTGTTGCTTCTTCCTCCACTACACTGAGCTGCCAGATCTTAATTCTGTGGAAATCTATTGCACAGAGCTGATGAGGCAGAAAGCAGATGAGAAAGGACGCCTCTGATCAAAAACTCACTCACTTCTCTGAGTCTTTTTACTGTGTATTTCTTTAGATTTTTCTTTGGTTTTATTGTGATAGGCCAAGAGAAGGAAGTGAAGTCATCACACATGGTAAGGAAGTATTTAGACACATTTCTATCCAAAAAGTTACACTGATCACACTGCAGCAAGAAGATTTAGACTTCAACAAGTACCTGGAAAGGCAACTGTATTACTTATGCTTCTCCCTTCTTCTTCCCCACCAGCATATTTGATTCTTTCCAAATCTGAAGATATTCAGCACATCTGCTCATTTTCAATAATATACTTTCAATTATGCTATTGAGAGAAACCAAAATTCCTTTCCTTGAAAAATGGAACAATGCCCAGAGCTCAATGTCCAGCCTGAAATTATATGGGACACACAAACTACTTTTTAAGTGTATCTCTAAACGGCTACATCACTGCTGGCCACTATCTAATTTTCAATGTTTTAAAGATGGAGCCTTTCAATACTAATTATTAGTGTCTAGCTGCTTTCTGCTTTGGAATAGATATAAAGAAAAAAAAATGCAAGTAACTCAGCAACCCACCTTGAGATCTGATGAATAAAAGGGATCAGTTCAGAGGGCTCGTAGGCGCGAGCAAAGGCCCAGGACACGTAGCACGCTGCATCTCTCACGTTGGAGCCCACACTGCAGGCCCCTCTCTTCTCATCGTACGCTAGTGCTTTCAAAATGACAGGAACCACTGGGAAACAAAAAGATGTGCAAAAGCAACAGTGAGAAGCATGCAGCGAACTGAAATCCCTTGGCAAACAGGTCATTTTGGATGCACGAGGTTTCAAAGTGTGTGCTGATTTATTTAAGGAAGAATGATATCATTTATTCCTTATTGGCATGTGTTCACAAGCAAATTAAAGTGCAATTCAAGTAGTACTAGACCATAAGTATTGTTGCTTACTGAAACAGCAATACCTAGCAATAACCACAAATTCTTAAGAAATATAGCCTTGTAAACACCATGAAAGTATCAGAATTAACCTCTGAGCATTTGTAACACCACATATGCTAACACAGCCAATGCTTCTTAATTAACAATAGTCATGGATCAAGTAAGACACGAATACGGACAAGGACTTGAGTGAGTACAGCCTTGCAAACCCTTGAATCACAGCGAGAGGGTCATCGCTCTTAGGCTAAAAAAAGGGAGCTGCTCTATTTTTACCACTTGAAGCTGTTATTTTGGGTGACTTCATATGTCACATTTTAAGTTTGAGCCTATGAACACTGCCTAAATTGCACAGATCATAGAGACAGAATGTGCTCAAAACGCAAACCGGTAAGATAAGAATGCAGAACAACTGTATAGGATGACCCAATGCAGAAGTAGAACCCTTTGATACTGAAAAAGTTTACTAAAAAGTACACTTTCAACATCTCTCACTTCCCTATCAGCCATCATACCAAATTTGCCAAAATACCAGTTTTTGTCAGACTATGAGGAAATAAGATAGAGATATTTGTGTTTTAAACAGCCATGTGGAAGCAGCTATTGCACTTCCTAATATATTTATGATGGATTTGCATTGACTGTAAACCCCAGATCTGCAAGTGTCGGCTCCAAGGCGAAAGCAGCTACCAGCCACCCAGAGAAGCTGCCTCTTGCATCTCAGTTCAGCGTATCCTGGTAGCAGGGGCAGCGAGAGGCACTAAACCACAGCGCAGCATTTAACAGAAACTAAACTTCTGCAGTGGGATTTTGGTTTATTCCTTTTAGTAGGAACAACTCAGATGACAAGTTGGGTATGATTTCTTTCATGAGAATAAAATATTTTCTCTTTTACTACCCCAAATTACTAAAGTTAAACATGATGACTCCAATTGTTTACAAGACCTGGAAAAAAAATAGGCAGAAGAAACATGCTCTGTTTCTGAATGGAAATAATATACTGTGTGTTCTTGGAAGTGTTCTTTATTTCTACTTACTGAACTGCAAAATCATCCTCAACTGACAGTGTCAGGAGGTCTCCTCAAGACATGAGCTTTCCCCAACACCCAGCTTCATCACTCTACAAGGAAAGCAGCCTTAACCTCGTTCATGAAGCAAATCGCAGCACAAAAATCTGCTGCTACGTGAGTGACAGCAACAGAATCACACCAGGGAGGACAGAGCAAGCAAAGGAGTGAAGGGGAGCAAAGGCAGGTGAGGAAATCTGGGTAAATCACGAGAGGAAATCTGTCAGTCAAGAAAGCAAGGAGATAAAAATGTCCACTTTGGTACTTGTGGCCCAGTGAAAACTGAAGTTAAATGGTTTTCGCACAGAAAACATCCCAAAAATTAAAGTCCCTTGCACAGCACTGCAGTGTGCTGCCACAGCTGAAAAAATACGTATGTAAAGCTCCCTGGAGGGCTTCCTTTTGGCACCTGCAAACCCAGGAATATAATTTGAATACATCTCTCTCTAGATGGCCTATCTTTAATACATGAATAAGGCCTGCAGAAACAACAGCCTCTAGAAAAAGGAAACAGGCTCTCTCAAATTTCTTTTTGTTGCATTAATCTAACGCATCTCTTTTTCCCCTTAGAAAATGATCGCCAACATAGGAGCCCCTTGAAGAAAAGCTGCATTTCTCTTGGGACTTTTGAGGGGACTGTATGATGGGACTAACCACTAAATACCTGAAATGCAATGTACGTTTCATCACTGTATGAGCAGTACCTTAAAAAAAAAGAAAAAAAAAAAGAAAAATTGTTCCGTACATGTAGGAGAAAACTGTTAAAATGCTATTTAAATTGCTTTAAACCTAATAAAGAAAGCCATAAGCAGAGGAATGGTCAAAACACAACTCTTAGGATCACAAGTACTATGTGGAAATAAAAACACAATTCCCCCTCAGGAACAACAACAACAGCAGAGATGGATGGATATTTTGTCACCTTCTAGTTTTGAAAGAAACTGCAATAAAAATCTTCAAAAATGTTGACTAGCTTGTTTTGAAAAATGCTACATCAACTGATGAAAATGGAATTAGCTGGTTCTGCAGGAAAGCTAAAAGAGCCGCCCAGGGCCGTTCTTCCTCACGGAGCCACCTCAGGGAGCGGAGCCGCCTCATGGAGCTGCCTCATGGAGTGGGGCCGCCTCACGGAGCAGAGCTGCCTCATGGAGCGGGGCCGCCTCATGGAGCAGCCTCACGGAGCAGAGCTGCCTCACAGAGCAGAGCTGCCTCACCGAGTGGGGCCACCTCACAGAGCCGCCTCATGGAGCAGCAGCTGCGGAGCCGGTGTCGCGGGGCCGCCTCCCGCTTCCCTCAGCGCCACCATCATGGTCAGGGCAGCCCCTGGAGGCAGCTGCGGGCGCCCGCTCGTCCCTCCATGCGCCCAGCCCAGAGGCGGCAGCACGGGGGAACGCGCAGGAAGGGCTGCGCAAACAGCGCACACAAGCAGTCTGCCGCTTTCCATCATCTTTACGCAAAGGAAAAATGGGGGAGGGAAGGGGGTTAATTTAGGGCAGTGATTTCCCAAATGGGAAATTCAACCAACAAGTTCAATCCTCACTTTAGTCTTTCACCTCCTCACACACGACCCAGGTTTCTCCTGTTGGGGCTTCCTGCAGTGACAGAGGCACCAGCCCGCAGCCACGAGGCAAACAGGGCCACTTGTCCTCAAAATGAAATGTCTTGCAAAAAACCTTCCTAACGCACAGCTGGACAGAGGCTATTCACGTCACCACACATACACAACCTTTTTGTCTTCAGTCTAAACACAAAACACGAGTTCAGTTTGAGTTAACCAGATCTGAACTGCCCAAGTTCAGGCTCTTCCGGACGAGTGTTTGATACACACAGCCCCAGTGAAATCCAAGGCTTTGCAGCCCATTTCTACATTTTACACCTGCAATGTAATTTCTGCTCAGTATAATGGCAGCCTCTCCGATGCCAGTGTGGTCAGTGTGGCACTGTGCTGGTCTACATTGCTTTGCAGATGTAAAATGATGCTTAATTCAAATTTTAAACCAATTCTTTCTCCTCAAAAAATAAAGGAAAAAAATTGGAAGGAAGTTAACTTTGTTTGGAAGGGCACAAATGAGTCCTTTTTATTAGTAACAGGGAACGTGCCTTTTCTTTCTCTAAAAAAATAAAGGGCTGAAGTGTGGCTCAGCTTTAGGAACCCCCATTTCTGCCCGAGCTCCGCACCGAGGGTCAGCAGCGCCGGCTCCCAAGCCGCTCCGTAGCCCATATCCACCTGTTCGGCGCCGCGAACGCTCGGGAGATGCAGTCACCTTTACCCGTAGCCTCGAGGCATTAATAAGCACCTGCCGCGCTCCGCCCTGCCTTACCTAACTCCATGGCTGCAGGTTGCAACACGGCCCCGTGCCGGAGCCCGGGGAAGAGGCAGAGGCGCCGCTGGCCTCCAGCGCTCCGCGCGCCCCAGCTCTGCTCTCGGCGACGGCTCCTCGGGAGCCCCCGCTGCAGGCGAACGTGCCCGTCACCTCTCGGGCGGGGGCAATGAAGCTGCTAGAAGGAACGGAGGGCTGAGCAGTCAAGCTCAGCTGCTTAAGAAATGCCGCATGCCACGTTTGGGCAAAAGCGGCTTTAGAAACACATCGGGCAGCGGCAGGGCCTACCAAACACGTGCGAGGAGCCGCGTGTTACTTCACATCGCCGTGTTTTTTCTTTATTGCAGTGTTTATCACACAACACACAGCAATTAAACAACAAACAACACAAACCTGTTCCCTAGCTCAAGGGTCTGCTCTACTCGAGAAAACTGAAAAATTCCAGATCAACTCTACTTCACTGGATCCTGAGTTCATTAGAAATAGCTCTCAATTTAGTTTAAGACTCAACTATGCCATTCTTAGAACAAGTCAGAGTTGTCTTTTAGGTAAATCTGTGCTATGAACCGTTTGTCCAGAGGAGCTTTTGCAATTTGTACTTAAGATACTGGAAATCTATTTGAGAATGAGAAAAGAGAAAAAAAATACAGTTCAACTAAAATAATGGATGGCTACTATTTCCACTGCGCACAAAGTGACCAAAGGGACATCCGAGAATATTACTGTTATTAATGAATTATGGAGCTTAATCGCAACGTGAAACCTAAACACCATGAAGGAGTTCAGAATAATAATTTTATTTTTCAAATAGTTCTTGAACAAAACCCATTGCAGCGGTGCCTTTTGCTGGGTTCAACCTGTCTGCGAGCCGCAGGCAGCAGGAAACAGGTAAATAGTCCTATCCACAGCAAGGCAGCTCCTGTTCCTTCAACAGCATTCCTATCTCTGTCATTCAGATATTAAAAAAAAAAAAAAAAAAAAAAAAAAAAAAAAAAAAAAAAAAAAAAAAGGCTTTGCATTGTCAAGGACTCCAGCTTTGAGACCCCGTGTTCTCACACACCGACCTTTTTCAGAAAAAGAGGCAGGCTCTAATTCTACCTTCATTCAGGCTGTTATGCTAATATTTAATATATCAGCACAGATGCAAACAGAGATAATTTTATATTAGGCTCATTATCAGAGATAAATATTTGCTCAAGGCTCTGCCAAACACCTCTGATTTGCTCTCATGTAGAGAAGTTGAGCTGAAAAAGCCGGAATGGAGTCCTCCTGAAGGAGCGCTTCACGCGGAAGGGTAACGCGAGCCGGGGCAGGAAGGGCGCGCGGCGCTCAGCCTCTTGGGGAGCCCAGACGCCGCCGCGGGCAGCGCGGGCGCCTTGGCGCGGTCCCGGGTGCTCCCGCAGGCCCGTTT